CACTCAGTCAGAAGGATGGAATGGCGCGATCAGTACCGATGTCCCACCTGTCCCCATTCCCCTAATGACGATGATGTATCATACACTCCACCCTACCAACCTCCCTCACCCTTTCGAGATCAAAGAACTCACAGTAGAGAAAACAACCTACTGTCCCGAAGAAACAATGGATTCAGCATGACTTCCTCGGTTTCTCGAGCTCAGACCTCCACTCAAGCTCAGAACTCCAACTTTACCAGAACTCAGAACTCCAATTTCACCAGGACCCAGAACTCCGACTTCACTGAGCGTCAAACTTCAGGATCCACCACGCCCTCAAAAGTGTTCAAGACGACCCTAATCTCAGACTCAATCCTGAGACATGTCCAGGGTATGGACACCAAGAATGCCCTCGGAAAGAACCATGAATTGACCCTAATCAACAAGCGGGACACAGGTGGACTTAAAGACCAACATGTCAAAGACGAATTATTAAGAAGATATGCGTCAACGTAATTCAAATGCACGAAACTTAAACAATTTTACTATCAATTTGGTGAGAACCTCGCGAATTAGTCATAATTAAGATTTAAGGATAACCCTGGCCCAGACTTGTGTAATCCTGTGTAATCCATGTCAATTCTGTAAATCATAGCTGTACATTAAGAAGTAAACATGATCTGACTGCTCAACTCGTAGATCACATAAGGGACGGGAGCTCTTGCTAAAGGGGGTTCTCGTATCAAGGCATGTGAGACGTACGTGCCAAAGGCATGCAAGGGGAGTGAGCCGATCAAGTGTTCTTAGGTATATGGACACGTTCATTGAAGTTTGAGGAAATTGGTAAATTTCTAAATTCAGTATTCAGTATTCAGTATTCAGTATTCAGTATTCAGTATTCAGTATTCAGTATTCAGTATTCAGTAAATTTGATTAATTATCCTACGAAAAAATGTCTATTGACTTGTTAATTCAAATCAAAAGTACGGAGTTAAACTGGGCTAGATATAGGGTAGAGTTCACATGTTCTGTAAATCATAGCTGGTGGATCACATCACTAGTTATACGTCACATCACTTATTATACGTCATATGATCTGACCCCTAATAATTTGATGGCGGCTCTGGAAACATGTAAGTGACACAACAGGTCGTTTGTTTCGGATAAAATGACTATAATAAAATGCGTTAATCGTCTTTTCGTTGAATTTACATGCTTATCATTAAAATCGTAGCATGAATATTGCACACATTTTCGTATCTTAAAATAAATCAACAAGCACCGAAAATTTGATGTAAAATTGTTACTAGTGCAGAATATCTGATTTCAAGTGCTCAATTTAATTTATGTACCTAGTTTTGCTAGTCGATTTCAAGACTATTCCAATTCAATACTATTATTATGCATAATGCCCAAAAAATGGCCTCCTTATGAATTGTTTATTAACAAAACTGATATCTGTGGCCACACAGACAAAGTTTGACCCAATTTCAGGTTCCAATCAGTGTGTTCCAAGACCAAAATCAACCGATTTTCATAAAATTCCAAGTCATGACCGGTCGACAATTTTATATTTACACCTATTTCTCAATGTTGGCGGTAGCTACCAGTGAAGGAAATGTCTTGGGATTGTATGACCATATTCGATCGATTCTTTTTTCAACCGAATTACAATAAAATTGATTAATTTTCCCCGTGGTGGGGGGGTACCAATGGCATAGAATGGAGACAAATGGCATAAAATTCATCAAATGGCATAGAAATTTCATGGCATAAATGGAAATTTTGTTTGGCCAATTCTCCATTTATGCCAATTTATGCCATGAATTTAGGTCTTCATATTTGACCTTTAGGATGACTTTAAATTCGCAAATATTATTAGTACTTGAATAAGAGACATGTTTCATGCTTTATAACGCTTGGAATGATCGTTAAAGTCAAAGATTCATATGACAAATAAAGAAAATAGAAATGTATTATATCAAATATATACCAAACATTTCACTATTCAAGAAAAGCAAATTGTGAGATGTTCAAAATGTACAGAATACAAACATTGACAACACAACGATTTTGAATGTCATCAAGGAACAATGCATCAGATGATCTATTTGTCTTCGACGAGTAGCCAAACATTTGGAGATCCATTGATTAGGCTATGTTCCTGGCAGTAGTACTTCATCGGGCATGACTTATAAGAAATAAATCTAACCACTCCTGTTGCAAAGTCCTGCTGAGATTTGAAGACTTTAAGAGTTTCTGTACTGCCAGCTTTCAAAACTGTTGAACATCCGCATTCAGGTTGATTGTATATGCGAACATCAGAAGACACTCCAAACGCGTCCCCCTTGAATCTTGAAAGACGAGATTTTGTTGATAAAGTGCTTCTTCCTCCATTGAGCGTGAGTGTCTCAAAAGACCGGAAGGATAGTGTTCCATATTTATCTGTTGATATCGTTTCTCCATCATCACAATCATCAACTCCAGGTTCTACCTCATAAGCTAAGTCGTCCTCATCCTCGAGGCATCCAGCTTCATCATCTACAGCTTCCCAAGAAAGTTCTTGGCCATGGACGATTGGCTTCCCACTCCGTTCTTCAGGATCTGCGACTGCGGCGAACACAGGGAAATTGTTTCTTTTCCCTTCTCGAATGCAGTCCCTCGATGCCCTGTCCAGCGTTTTTGCCAACTTGCCTAGGCTTATCATACCACCAGTCCATTTCACTCGTTCTGCTTTCTGGCCTGTAGATTTAATCTTTTTGAGGTGAACTGTAGGATGCAAAACTGTACTTCCACGTGCATGTGCAATTTGCAATTGCAGATGTGTCTTCATGTAATGATAAAGCACTGTACACATTCTTTCTCTCCATTCCATGGGCCATAGTTATCGCATCCATATTTCTTGAGCGACCAGATGAAAAAGAAACCCGAATAAATGCAAACAGCTGCTCATTCTGATCACTTCCAAGGTAATAAGTGACGATTTCAGCATTAGGGAATTGCTTCTTCAGCAGAGTTAAATACAAAACAAGACCGTCACAAGTACATATAAGATCAAGGTACGTCTGATTCGTTATGCTGACAGCTGAGTAAGTATTCTCTTTCCAAGTAACGAAAAATGTTTTTTCTCAAACAGTTCCATTTTTATTATACTTTATAGTTTAGAGTCTAATTTGGCATGATATCAGATCACGTGATATTACATGGCCCCATGGAGAGCATTGCCAGAGCAATTGGCCAGAGAGCTCCATAGAAGTAAGGGGCCTACTCTAGCCAACAGCTCTAATACATTTCCTTCCTCAACTTCATTTTCTTCATCTAACTGCTGCTGCTGCTCAGCAACTACTTGATAGCTGGCACAGTGACAATTGTCTGCGTAGTGTATCTGTTAGCCTCAATTTTGCCTCAAGGAGGGAAGGTAGCCTCAATCCAACCTCACATAAGTTTCGATAAAGTCTCAATAACCTTCGGGCTACAATTACAAGTTTTATAGTGGGTCTATAACATGTTTCCGTACATTAAAGTTAAAACTTAAAATGCGGTCGAATCATTTATTAGCCTCATTTTGGCCCCCTACAAGAAGACTCTGCGATTTCTGAAATGTTGAGCTTGAAGAGGATGAATAAATTTTTATTGTTGACACATTAGATAGTCACAATACCGAACATGCTCGAAAATATACACAAAAGTATACTTGTTAGCCTCATTTCACCCTCTCACAAGGTGGTTAGCCTCATTTTCACCTCGAAAATTTGAAGCTATAATCCGACGGAATTTCATGTGCAACATAGATATTAAGTAACTTGTGAGTTGTTAACCTGTTTCCGTACATTAAAGTTAAAATGCGGTCGAATTTTTATTAGCCTCATTTTGGCCTCCTACAATTCAAGTAGACTCGGCGATTTCTGAAATGTTGAGTTTGAAGAGCTAGAGGATGAATCAATCTTTATTGTTGACGTATTAGATAGTCACAATACCGAACCAACTCGAAAATATACACAAAAGTATACTTGTTAGCCTCATTTCACCCTCTCAAAAGGTGGTTAGCCTCATTTTCACCTCGAATATTTGAAGCTTAAATACCGATTAAATATAATCCCAAGGAATTTCATGTGCAACATGGATATCAAGTAACGTGTGAGCTGTTAACCTGTTTCCGTACATTAAAGTTAAAATGCGGTCGAATTATTTATTAGCCTCATTTTGGCCTCCTACAAGTAGACTCGGCGATTTCTGAAATGTTGAGTTTGAAGAGGATGAATCAATCTTTATTGTTGACATATTAGATAGTCACAATACCGAACCAACTTGAAAATATACACAAAAGTATACTTGTTAGCCTCATTTCACCCTCTCAAAAGGTGGTTAGCCTCATTTTCACCTCGAATATTTAAAGCTTAGATCTCGATCAAGTATAATCACTAAGGATTATACTTGCAACTTGGATATCATGGACGTAACATGAGAAAGTTCTTTTTTGAAAGTGGTGAGGCTAATTTGTTAGCCTCGATTGTCCCTTGCAGTTAAATCACTCCTACTGAGTCTAGTGAGTGAGCTAGGAGGTCGCCGAACATCTCATTTTAAAGCCGTATCGATTTTCTATACGCATACCAAAAATCAAATGCGTAAAACAGAAATGAAATTACAGAAGTTTTAAATTTTTTGTCAAAAAACGAACTTTTAGGGGTGTTTCTAATGACCAGGGTCAGTACAACAAATAGAGATAAAGGTGGACAGTACTAGTGGGGTGCAGACTATTCGTTATTAAATTCTCAGTTCAAAGTTTTAAAATTTAATATTTCGAATGGCATAGAATGGAGACAAATGGCATAAAATTCATCAAATGGCATAGAAATTTCATGGCATAAATGGAAATTTTGTTTGGCCAATTCTCCATTATGCCATTTATGCCATTGGTACCCCCCCCCCCCCCCCCCGTGGTACAACAGGGGAGTAGAGGGTAGAAGGTTTCCTAGTGCAAAATTCTTACCCTTATATTATTCAACTTAAAGTTTACAATATGGTGGATGAGGATCGTTGAAAGATAGTACAACATCACACTTAAACACTTGTTCGTTATCAATTGCCAAGTTTGAAACGTCCAAATAAAAACGTTAGCAAATATACCATAGTTCACATTTACTATCAAATCCCCGAAAACGAACATATAAAACCATTCTAAAACCCCGTATTATTTATACAAACTTAGCTACTGCTATGAATAATGAATATGACGGTGTAATCCAAAAGTGAGCGGTACCTGTCACGTGGGGTACGACACAGCAAAGTAATTGTGACTCTCCGAATAAAAACATTCGTACGAACACAAACAAGCTCTTATAGGAATGTTCCCGGCCCTGTTTGACAGTTTGAGGACTGCTTTAGCGTCCACAAAATGAACACATTCCAGCCAGGAGAAAAGGTAAGATTTATCACAAAGGACACATTTCCGTGCGTCTTTCAGGAGGTTCAGTACGTCCGGACGGACGGTGGCTTGTTTGCGGAGGATGGAGTTGCGGTCTTTGAAAGATTGCAGAATCATCCGAGCACACAACTCCTGAGGATTGAACCCGTGACATTGAGGAATAGGGATAAATCACGTATCACTCGCAAAGTTACAAATAATCGACAAAAGCTTATTATCAATAGAAGTGCAGTTTTATTATAATACTATAGACCTAAGGCCTAGGCATTTAAAAATTAATCAGATTATCTTATTTTTTAATTTTCTAATATAGCTATAAATTACCTTCAAATAAAAGACATCGTTAACATTCTGACTGAGTACAGGAAGGTGCTCCAACAAAGGGTTTTCATCGCAGTGCAGTTCAGATAGTGAGCAATGGTATATTCCCTCAGGGAACATCGTTATGTTGTTGCAGGATATGTCTAGAATCTGACACGTGACATTTTTATTTCTTGCTGGTTTATTAAAATAAAATTCAGAAACAATGTTGAAGTGAGCAATATCAATGACATCGATCGTGGTATGACATATGGTTTGGCACCAAAATAACTGCCTGACAAACGGCAGTAAGGGGGCAGGGGGGTCTTCATAGAAATTTTCTCAAAATCGACTTTTTAGTTGTTTCTAATAGAAGGGAGAAATATTTATCAGCTATTTTTGATTCCATCGAAAAATAGTGTTCCTCGTAAAATTTATCGCTGGTCAAAGATCAGCGCTTATGATTAATTGTATTATGAGTAATTGTAAATCAGGATGATGATTAATCACTCTACACTCGACTGTCACGTGACTTTTTCAACCCGTTCTCTAACTGGTCCTGAACGACTTTTCGAAATCCTAGCCCTCTAATCTAGGTAAACTATAGGTAAAAATATAGTATTAATCATAAGCTAAAATGTACTAATCTTTGTATTCTAAATGGGGAAAAGAAGAAACATTGTCAGTCAGTCGAGAAAATCTGATCCCAACCTTAACCCTAACCCTATCTTTAACAAAAGCATACACTGAAACCCTAACCCTAACGAGAAACTAGACTAAATTCCTTATACGGTCATATCACGTGATCGAGACAGTTTTTCGCCAATATCTCGTCCGGGGAGCATTTTAACCCTATATGTCATGGGGAGTGATTCGGAATCAGCGTCCGAAAATACATCGATTGAAGTTGGTTTCAACTGTCGGGGGCCCTTTTAGAACAATCTCGAAGATCGACTGTAGAGTTATTTAGCACGCTCGTGTAAATCATGCGCATATACTGAATATCTCGTCTAAAAATCTTCTTATACAGTTTTTGAGCAATCACGCACCCTGAAACTTACAGGGAATGTTTTAAGGATCATTTAGAAGATTCTGGTCGGACAGAATTTTGAGATAGGCTTTTTTAAATTTTTATTCGATTTTGAAAATCGTGGACCTGGTTTTTGATGATTTTTCCAGGTCCAAGATTTTCAAATTATAAAAAAATCCCTTCTATTAGAAACAACTGTAGTTAACAAATTTCTTCAAAAGATTAAATCCTAAAAAAATTTTATGATTTTTTTGCCAATGAAAGTTGTTTTTTAAAACAAACTTCTCTCAATTTTATAAAAATATTAAGTGTTGTGGTTCTCGAACTAAATAATACTAACTAAATAATAACTTATTCACTTCAGGTTAACTGTATTTTTAATTGTCATTGAATCAAATGAGATGCTAACCTGAAGAGCCTGACAGTGACCAATCTCCTCAGGAATTTCAGATAATTCGTTCTTATATATCATCAACTTTTTGAGGTTCTTAAGATAGCCCAATTCTCGTGGCAATTCTTTTATCCTGAAAGAAAGTGTTTTAACTATCTCGCAAACCACCAGCTTCAAGCTTGATATAGGAAGGTGTTATAGAAAAACAACCAGTCTCTGTTATAAAATTGATTAATAATAAATTAGTCAATTAGTTCAACCCTGTACCTGTTATTTCCCAGATGTAACTCTGTTATCTCAATACAAGATAATATCTCCGGTGGTATGACTGATATCCTGTTTTTATCAAGACACAAGATCTTCAAACTCTTCATCCCACGTATCTGAAAGGGACCATTTGGTTGCCACTAATTAATCACAGAATAAATGAAAGTGCCTATAATATTGAACTTTACTATTATAGAATCTAAATTTACATCTTTAATTGGTCTCGAAATTTGTGCTTACCTCTGGCGGAATTGCAGATATCTGATTATTGTTAGCATTGAGAAGTTTACAGTTGAACAATCTTATGATCACTTCCCCGTTAAGTTCCTCGAGTTGGTTGTTGAAGATGTGGAGTGTGTCTATAAGTGGGAAACATCCCAGCACCAGAGGGAGTTTAACAAACTCATTGTTACCGAGATTCACAAACTGCAAGTCTGAATAATTGTTGTGTAGATAATGGGAAATTGGTTACAAAATTAATCATAGGTCTACAATCTAAATAAATAATGATAATTATGACGACTAATTTAAAGTAAAAATGAGTAACAAGTGCCCACAAAATGAGTAACAATAACCCGCTTTGCAGGGTCTATCGGAAATAGATATATGTTTGCACCCCGTGTCTATATATAGATTCGTCAGGGATTGTGTTTAACAATATCTAGGAAGAACCGTGATATCAAAGTGACTGATACACCTGCTATCGATTTCCCGGAATTTGTTAGATGCTAGTATACTAAAACTTCGTGCGTATTGAAAATCACTGGTCACGTGTCTGGCACATATCACTGGACTTACAAACTCTTATCAACTCTTATCTATAATTTGTGGACACTTGTCACTGAAAAGAATCTAAGTGTTAACCTCTCAACTGCATTTTGAGTTTACACAAAGATAGACACCTCATACGCTATGCGCACTAGGAACTATCTATCATATAGAACCTGCTTCGTAGGGTCTATCTAAGTTAGATATATGTTAATATGGCAAGTCTATGATATTTTACAATACACCTAACATACCTCTCAAGTTTTCTAACTCATAGGGAAGTTCTCTTAGTTTATTATTTTTCAGGATCAGCTGCTTTGCACCAGTTACTTTACAAAGAAGTGGAGGTATTCGTTTCAGGGCCTTGTTACACAAAGTAACCGATTTGGATTGTCCTCGAACTGCACTCAGAAGGGATGTGTCGGCCATGTGACATTGTACTACATTGATGTTAGTGAAACAGAAATGTGATAAAAACTTGGAATCTTGTCAATTATCCAAATAAATCAGAGACAAATAGACCTACAGATTGATATGAGTAATGAAAATGGTTGATAGATTTTAAGAATTACTCAAGATTAAAACATCAGGGTAAATGAAGTACTTTTCAATTATTCGTAGCTATACACACACACAATATTGCACAGCGCACATCGTTACAAATCAGTGCAGCAAAACATTATTATAAAATACACAATACTCATTTGGAATGTCGAGAAAAATCGATAATAATAACTTTCTTGAAAGTAATATTTTTGTTAGTTCTACGCTGTGACCACTTAAGTTTGTGAAAAACAAAACCTAAACAACTTAACAGGGTCCTCAGATCGAAACTGTTTCAAATTAACTTATTATCATATTATGCATATATGATTACCATCACATCATATTTCAGAATAAAAAGTCATCTCAAAGTGGTTTAAAGTCTACATCGATCCTATTTCTCAACAACTAACTTGATAACAAATACCAATAGCATAATTGTATGCACATCATTTGATGGGCGGCAGTTTTTGTTTGCCTGAACTTGCCGGTTTTGGAACCAGACCAAGATCTCCCAAACGGTAGTGGCTGATTTTGTTGGGATCAATAAGCTGGGATGGGATAGTTGCTGAGAGTTTACCTGCCTGAGATGTCTTGCTGACACTATGTTCAGTAATTATATCTTTTGGTAATCCTTCAGTTGGTAAACCTGCAGCTGCTAACAAAGTCAGGAGGGTGTGGAATAACCTCTCTCTGTCGACTGGATCCTCACCCTGTTCGATAGCTTCCTTCTTCATCTTATCAGATATATCATCTGGAGACACTTGAAGTGCAACTTGAATTCCGAAAGCTGCTTCAAAGATTATTCGAGATAGTTGGTTCACTCTTGACTTGCTGGCTTTGAGTTCCTCAATCTTTTTCTGATAAGCTTGCTCGTATTCCATTTTACCCATCTTCTTGTCCTCTAAATCTATCTCAACATCTGCAAGTTGTGACTCTAAAATATTCATGGTCATGGCCATTTCCTTGTGGTCAGTCTCCATGATCTTGTATTCGTCAACGTTTTGTTCATACTTTTTCACTTTCTGCAACAGCATATTGATCATTTTTTGACAGGTATTGTTTTTCCTCGCCAATTCTTTTTCATTGTCTTCAAGCATGTTAATTGTCTGTTGATGCCTCTTGTCACGAAGTCTTAATTCATCATTTTCCTTAATCAGCTCAATAGTTTTCTCGGACATTTTAGCTAGCTGAGCATTGATAGACACATTTTCACGAATTGTTCGCTTTGTAGTTTCTGCCATCTGCTTATTCGACACTTTCCTAAATTCAGCAGCAACCGTGTTTACTCGAGCAGTCATTTCTTTTTTTAGCCTATCCCGGTTTTGAACCTCTTTTCTTTCTAGGTTGTACACTGCATCTTTGCGACTGTTCTGTTCTTGTTCCAGTAATTCTTCCATGGTTTTGAACTTGGCCTCCAATTCCTCTTTGTTTTGTCTGAAATCTTCCAGTTGCTCCAACTTTCCATTTATCAACATATTCTCTGATGTAAGCTGGTCTTTAGTTTCCTGGGCTTCAGTTTTCAGCTGTGTTATCTGCAACTCGTATGAATCTTTTTCAGCATCCTTTGCTTGTTGAAGACTGATGAGTTTCTCCTGCAGGTCTGCAACTTCATCCCCCATCTGCTCCAACTTTTTCTTTAAAAATGCAACAATTTCTTTTTTATCTTGAGTCTGCTTTTCATAATTCTTCTGTAGATCTTTACTCTCTATTTCCAACTGATCACATTTACTCTGATATCTGTCAAGACGCTTTTCTAAATCATTTATCTGTATGATGTAGAATTCCTTTTGCAGTTCTGTTATAGTCTCTTTCTTAGGTCCATTCTCTTCAGTACCCGATTTTTTACCCTTCTTGCCACCTTTCTTACCCTTTCCACTTTTCTTACCTTTCTTTTTAGGGGGCATACTCTACCTGAAGCAATTGTTAATAAATTGACATATCCAACACAATTCATTATGAAATACAAAAATTAGGTACATGCAGATTGCAGAAAAAGTTATATTATTCAAGTAGGTTGGACACAACCTACTCTAAGACAGAGCATGTTCAGAGAGGAGACAGAAAGCAATGCACCAAAATAAGTGGTAATGTATGCACACCGCTTCCTTAATCCTGTCAACACAGGTATGCCACAGGGTAGGGCAGTAAAAACCCGATTTACCGTGAACTTTGGGTAAAGCAAAGAGTGAAACACGTCACAGTTCCGACCTATAGCCCAAAGTCAAACGGAATTTGTGAACGCTTGGTGCAAACCTTTAAAGGAGGTTTGCACCAAGCGTTTTGAGCTCAAAACTCAAGCAGTCATCTTTGGTAGGAAAAACGTTAAAACAGTATGTACAAAACATCATATGTACACTTAACGGATCCGAGCTTGAAGTTGTTGACTGTTATTGTTACCTTGGATTTAAACTGCATCAATCTGATGTGCAGGTTGCTCAACAAAACCTTAAAACCAAAGCAATGTGAGCATTCTTTGGCCTGAAAAGGGTTATCATGCATTCAAAATTATCTTTCGAAGCACTCCTAACACTGCTCGACTCACTAATCAAGCCCATTCTATTATACTAGCAGGAACCCGTCTAACTTTAAAGTGGTGTCAATACTCAAGAGACTAAAATAATTATTACCTATTTAATTCGCGTTTTTGACACCACTTGGGGGTCCAAATTTTCGGCTCTAAAATCATTATTCCTTGGCCAATTTTTTATTTTTTCATGCTGATTTGGAGGCCATTAAAGCAATTGACCCAGCCAAAAAAGTTTCAGTTGTATATCTTTTACGGTTTTTGCGGAAAGTCGTGTTAAAGTTGATGCCGTGGTGTCAGTAAAATGGTACGGATATATACATATATATCGTCTCGCTTTATATATAGTAAGATGGTGTTCCAATATGGACAGTGGACACCCACTCTAGTAGGATCAATAAAACGATTAACTTCTAGTTCTCATCACCTTAGAATTGAAAGGGGGAGATATGACAAAACTCCACTTGATGAAAGGACCTGCAACTATTGCGAGCTGAACACCAACCAGCTATTCATCGAGAACAAGAATAATATGCTCCATTTCAAAATGGAAATCTACTCAATAATGTCGGTAATGGTAGCTTCAATCTTGCCTCCATGTTCATGTCGCACCCCGATCGCAAGGATAATCTCAGTGATGACCCTGGTCGTAATCAGCTCTGCACAGCTCTGCACTGTTTCAGTGTATCCTGATGCATGAAATCTCGTACATTGCCTACGTATGGGGTAGCCGGTAAACAGCCACGGATGATTTTGACTGTGAGTTTTTCATCACTTCCTGACATGAGCCAGACCTCAGCTGGATCCTTCCCATCCCTTTTTCTTGGCTTCCTGTTCAGTCTACATCTTCAGTTTTCTTCATCAGTTAGAGCTGCCTTGTACTCGAACTTTGCCTCCACAGTTTGCCACAGTACCTCATTTGGAGGCAAGACCGGCTCTCAGGCACTGGCTAACTTACCGCGCACGGCTTAGTTTTCCGCCCTCTCTACTGTTCTTGTGTTTGCGCTCACCCACTCTTCAGTGGGCTGTTCATTTGACAGAGTTACTGGCTGGCACTCCCAACATTTTCTCAGTCACCATCACTGCCCAATCAAAATGATGCAATTATTATATATATAGACCAATTAGTAACTTACCTTTCCTCTCGAAACTTATTGAAAAGAGTGTCCAGAAACAGATGACTAAACATCTTGACCACCACAATCTCCATGCTGAACATCAAAGTGGTTATAGGTCAAACCATAGCTGCGAAACTGAAACCCTTACTAAATTTACAATGATCTCCTTTGTATCAGTGACATGAAAAGCAAGGTTATCCTCCTCCTTTTGGACCTTAGTGCTGCTTTTGATACTGTAAATCATCACTTTTTCCTTCTAAAACTAAAAAGGATTTTGGTTTTGAAGGTACTGTTCTCAAATGGTTTACATCATACCTCAATAACAGATCCTTCACTGTAACTATTGATAAATCAAGATCAAAGAGATGCGTCCTTAGAATTGGAGTCCCGCAAGGTTCAATTCTAGGTCCAATTCTGTTTATACTGTACACAAAGGAGCTTAATCATATTGCAAAGAGACATGGATTTAACATCCACATGTACGCAGATGACACCCAACTTTACATTGAGTTTAACCCACTATTTCGAGATCTGTCAACAATCAAAGAGAGAATTACACATTGTTTTCAAGAAATTAAGAGCTGGATGACCCAAAATAAACTCAAATTAAACCAAAACAAAACAGAAGCTCTTGTAATACAGACCAAGAATAGTAACTCTTCATGTCCAGTCGATTCAATACACCTTGACAATGCAGCTGACCCTGTGGATGCATCCCACACAGTAAAAAGTTTATGTGTCCTCTTTGATCAATTCCTTACATTTGAAGATCAAGTCAATTCAATTATCAGTTGAGGAACCTTCGAGTTATAGGCTCAAAGCTTAACTATGACCTAAAAAGACACGCTCGACATACCCTCTCCCACATTTCATGGTCCCCTCCTCAAGACCTCACCTACCCCCAAGAAAGACACCACAGCCAAAACAGTGATCAACCTCTCTGGACAGACCCTCTCCACAGCTGAAACTGACGTCCTCTCCCTTGGACTGAAGTTCGTCCCGACACCCACCTCAGATCCTACCCCCGACCTGGCTCCCCTCATACAGAATATCACTAAACAACTAGGAGAAGGCATGGAAGCCTCAGCCACATATCAGGTCACCTCTGTATTATCTAAATTTGACAATAAACGTGACATGACCACCGACAATTTGACTCCACAACAACGTACCGCTCTTAAATCTTTAAAATCTAAGAAATCTGAATTGAAATTTCTTCCTGCTGATAAGGGCAACGCCACTGTTGTACTGACTCACGATCAATACATAACCAAAGTTACCGACCACTTATCCTCAGGTAGTTACACCCTCTTAACGAAAGACCCCACTCAATCCGTTACCACTAAACTACAGAAAGTCCTCAAGAAACTACACACCGACAAGAAGATCACGACCGACCTATACCACAAGATGCGCAATCTACATCCTAGATCCCAGGTCAAGATTCATGCGAGATGGCGAGACAGGCTCATCGCACAAAATCTTAAAATAAACACAGAAAAAAAAACTAACAACAAAATGTGTGAGAAAATAGAAAAAATGTAATTTAAAAGTTTTAAGCGACACAAAAATGTACTTTATATTTTGTGAATTCGGAACTTAGTGCGGTGTGAGATCACGTGGTTAAAGTATAACAACTTTGAGCCGCGCAATTAGTGCGAGATTTTGACGAGTTTAGTATAAATCTCACCCCAATATCGCGAGTCTAGCTGCGAGATTTCGGCACCCTCTTTCAGCACTACATATTCGGTCGCGCGCAACGGCCCCATCATACTATTCTTTAACTTGCTGGCCTTTTCGTCTTCATCATCAAGCCGACTTTTCATGGTCATTGAACTTTTGGTATTGATTGTTTTGAATTATTACTGGTTGTGTTACTCTGACGGCTTACTTTTCTGTACTGTCTAAGACTAAGTCTTAAAGGATACTAGTTGTTGTCGACATTAATCGGTTTATAAGATCAAGATTCACAGTGGTTACTATAGTTACCATGGTTACCATTAAAGGAGGTCCGGTAATGGTCGAAATCTCAAGGTACTATTCCTGGCTACAGTCGACTCATCGAATAAGTCGACTTTCTCAGAATAATGAATATACTTGACACTACCATAGGCACAGTGGATATTTCTTCATTAAAAGTTTGAAAAAGGGTCTCTTCAACTGTAGACCTGACTTATTAATCCTAGCAGGTAAGTAACTCTGGATCCTCATCACATTGATTCCATTCTAAATTCTAGCCATAAACAAAACAAATATTACCAGATAACTCCGTTCACCATAATTTGATATGTTCCAGTATGAACGAGGCCTTCCCCGGACAAATCCTTAAATGCCAGTCTTCTCTAGCTGAAGTACGAACTGTATAATTTATCAGATAAAGTATATTACAAGATGCTCTGGTGATAATTTTAGTAAAATAATTAATAATTGCCAAAAGAATGACCGTCGACGGGACTCGAACTCGGGATCAGCTGCTTAGCGGCCGTTCCTTAAACTGGGGCGCTACGTGAGGCATGTCAGATTTTCAATATGTAACAATATATACTTCATAAAAATACACACGTAAATTTTTCGTTATGTATTGATCCAAATTACAGCGGCATACTTACAATTCTGAGAAATAAACATCGAGCGACATAAAGCGACATACTTACAATTTCGCTTACAAAGGGACATCTTTTTAAATACAAAGTAATTTGTGGGGCAAGAAATCTTGCAGTCTGGGGGGGGGGGGGGGGGGGGGGGGGAATCGCATTTTTAGTCTCAAAATTCAATCTCATCGCACTTTTTTTAGAATCTTGATAGGGGTCCTAGATGGCCTCAACTTTACGGACAACCTAAGATACACAAACCCGGCGCACCTATCCGTCCCGTAGTCAGCTTCTACAACACCCCCCTCCAAGCCCTCCACAAAGTCCTCGCATCTTTCCTCAAACCCCTAGCCCAGAACCCCTTACGCCTCAAAGACTCTTCCGACTTCAAACATCGCTTCGACTCCTCTCTCAATCCCTCCTTCCACTACCACGCCTCCTTAGACGTCCAATCCTTGTACACCTCCTGTGACATGCGCCTAGCCCTCAAACTGTCATCTCCTCCTTTGAACAGAACCCCTCTCGTCTTCCCTCCAATGTCACCACCACCACCATAGGCTCCCTTATCAACTTTTGCCTTGACAACTCATACCTTGAATTCAACGGCTCCTTCTACTCCCAAGACGAAGGTGGTACAATGGGATCCCCCCTCATTGTTGAACTAGCTGAAATCCGCCTTGCTGAAATCGAGACCTTAGCTTTATCCTCATGTCCTGACCCTCCGAACACTTACTCCCATTTCGTTGACGACGGCCTTGGATCTTTCAGAGACAGAAACCACGCAGAATCCTTCCTTACATTCCTTAACTCCCTTACTGAAGACCTCAACTTTACCCAAGAACATCCCTCTACAGACGGAACTATACCCTTCCTTGACGTTCTCATCCACCCTGACAAATCCACATCAGTCTACAGAAAACCCACCCACACCAACCTCTACACCAAGTACTCCTCCTGCACCACCAACTCATCTAAGAACGCAGTCATCCGATCACTGACCAGAAGAGCCCACAACATCTGCTCACCCCAACACCTTGACGACGAACTCCAGACAGTACGACACGTTTGCCTCCAGAACGGCTTCCCTCCTCACCGCATCACCACCATCATGGACGAAGTACAACGGAAATTCACCAACCCCTCTCGCCACCAATCCCTAGCCTCATTCAACCGACAGACCCGTGAACATGCCCTTAGTGTTTCTCTTCCTTTCCATCCCTCCCTATCCAAACCCATCTCCAAGATACTCGGACAACACGACATCAAAGTCACTCACTCCTCTGCTACCTCCCTCCGCAACCTCCTCACCAAAACGAAGACCACACCCCCTACTCACCTCACCCCCAACACCATCTACGAAATTTCCTGCTCACAGTGCCCCTCCAAATACGCCGGACAGACCTACAGACCCTTGGTCCACCGCATGAAAGAACACGAACGATGTTACAGACTCAACAACGCCATCGACGAATCCACAGACAGAATCAAATCAGCCCCTGCACATCATGCCCTGACCACCGGCCACACCATCTCCTGGAACAACATCGAAGTCCTCAAATCCCTCACCTCACGCTCCCAACTAGACCTCACAGAACACGCAGCTATACAAATACGACAACCAGCTATGAACAGAACAGACCGCGCACCCAAATGTAGTTCCCTCTGGGACCCCATTCTTCCTAAAATTGCCAAATCCTTAAAGTCCAGACCATCTGCATTTCCTTCTCAACCTCAACAGAAGACTAATTTTTTATTGACATTGTACTGTAATTTTCACTTTCCCACCCACACCTCCCCCACCCTCCATCCCTGACACCACTCAATCACATATAAGCATTGTCCACCACATCACATTCAGCTGACGACGATTAACACATGTTTATTGAAAGCTTCTACAAGTTAAATCATCGTATCTCTTATATGTTTTTAACCCAACTCCACTCAGTTCTAAAAAGACATTATTATTATTAAATCTAAAATAGCTAATAATTTAATTAATTATTAACAGGCCCCTTAACGTGGGCAATAACATACGCTTTATAAATTATATAAACAAACTCAAGTCTATTTTCCTTCAACCTGATACCTGAGGAGAAGAGCTACGAGGGATAGATGATATCTATTGCTCAGGATTTACGATTGTGCTCTGCCAATTGCATCACTTGATTTAATTTATTGTATATATACTGTTTGACATTTAGTCTATTTTCCGATTTTGCTAATTGTCTCTTTAGATCTTTTTCGGTCTTTCGAGGGAGTTCCCACATCTGCTGGTTGAGAATACTCAACATAACATTCATGATGCTTGACTGCTTTATTGACCCGGCAGGCACCGGCGGCAGACATCCCAACACCAGTGCGTTGGGACATAGTGTAGCTCAGCGGCAGCATGAGCCCTGGTTTCCTGCCACATTGATACCTCTGAAAGTACAGAAAGGTGGTGGATTTCGGGGTCCAGGATCCTCCCTCTTTATCCTTTAAGGTGTTATCATTTCTCTGAGATGTTTGCAGAGTTTTTGTTTTCTAGTCTATTTAGTTGGCTAAGTCCTGGAGAGATTCATTTTGTTCCCAAAGAAATTCGACTCTCCTAATAAATGCTTCTTGTGTGCTGCTTTTTGTTGAAAAGCTCATTCACTGTTTGATCTTTTCAAAACTAGACTATTACAATGGTTTACCCGCTTTTCTCATAAAGAAACTCCAGAAGATACAAAATTCCTGTGTACGATTCTTGTTTGGTAGAAAAGCTATTAAAAATGGGACAGTGTCACTCCATTCCTGAAACATGCCCATTTTCTTCCAATTAGACAGCGAATAGAGTATAATATTGCTCTAACAGTGTTCAAATGCGTCAATGGTCAACAACATAGTTCCAGACTATATCACCAAATGCATCGACATCAAGAGTCAACCTGTAAGTGTGCTACGAACTGAACAAAACTATTTCCACCTAAATGTTCCTCCTGTCTCAAACTGAGAGAGGTTTTAGTTACTGTGAACCCTCCGTATGGAATCAGCTTCCTTAACAATTGAGAACATTGACTGATATTGTCTTGTTCAAAAAGAGACTAAAGACTCATTAACGGGTGATATTCGTAAAATATCTGTTCCATATATTAGGACCATCAGTTAAACAAAAAATTCAGTTAAACAGAAATTCAATTTTATGCCATTTATTACAGAGTAAACAAGTTTACAATAAATCAATTTGATATTTAAAGGAATCCTAATTCAATGTGTAGTATGGTTGTCACTCTTTAAATAGATTAGATATAGGTTGACGGGGCAAAGGAGTGTGCGTGCTGTTCGCTATTGCTCACACCAAACGGCAACCTAGTAAATGTTTGTATGGACACCGGTCTCCATCACGATACAAAATTAGGATTGTAGAATTTATTGTATAACTTTTAGTGCAGTGGAGGTAGCGGTGTCCAACTCGGCGGTGTCCAACTCGGCGCGCGTCCTGGCAGGTTATAAACCTACAAAAGACTCATCTCTTTGAAAAAGTGTTTATATAAGTATCATATAATATCTTTCTCGTACAAACCATACTTCATAAAATGCTAAGTTCTTATTTGTTATTATTATTATATTATTATATGTACTTATTCATAAGTTGCTTTAGATGGCTTGAACTGAATCCTTGGATTTTGAGTTCTTTTTGGCTATAAAGCGATGTATAAATGTTTAGTTATTATTATTATTATTATTATTATGAAGTTTTAATAAAAATTGAGGGAGTCAGTTATGTCAGTAATAAAGAGAAACATAACGATTTTTTTTGGTTTCATCTTTATGTTAACGGGTGATACGATCGTAAAATATTTTTTCCATATATTAGCGTCGACGAGTCCAACTCGGCGCGCGTCCTGGTAGGTTGTAAACCTACAATCCTTATGTAATGTGGCAAAGAAGCGTTTTACAAATTTTTATTCCACTGGGAAGTTTGATTAGGTTTTTAAAATAGGACAATGTTTTGATGCATTTTTTAAATATTGCATTTGATGAATAATTAATGTTCGTGGGGAAGTATTTTTAATATTACGTGATATATATCACGTCGTAACCCCCTGTCATTGCACAACGTGGTTTTGTGGTGATCAAAGCCACGAATAACGAAGCCGCGCACGTCACTCGTGCGCGGCTGGGCTACAACGTGAAACAAGACATTTATGGACTTTTTCTTTATGAAATTTAAATATTTAGAAAACAAGTCAGTTGAGGAAATATTTTTTTGAATAACGTTCACTTCTGCTTTAGAATTTTTATTTAAATTTTGAATTGCGCTGATAAAAATTTATGATTGAAACGAATTTTTGAGTAGTTCACTAGTATTATATATATAGTAAAAAACGTATTTTACATTTCGTTAGTGCATATCCAATATTCATGAGTTTATTATCGGATGTTTAAGTTTATTATCTAACTTTTAAAACAATCTCGAAATAGTAAAGAAACATCTTAAGAGACTGATAAGTGCCCAAAAAAACATAACAGTTCTCTGAATAAAGTATGAGGTAAATGATTTTCTCCACAAAACTCTGTTAGAGGCAGTAGCCCTAAGATCATAAAGATCATTAATATCACGTAATGGTAGGTTTCTTTTATTCAAATCATTTATAATAAACTTTAAAAGATTACTTTGGTGTCGACCAACACGTCCTTTCATGGTAAATAACGCATTAACAGCAAATTGAAGAGCTCTCTGAGCAGTCACTGCGAAGGACATGTCCCAGCATTTTCCAGCGAGCATATGTCACTCGCTCTGACAACGGTGTTACACCACAGCGTTCATATATAGTGCTTTATTACTGATAATAATGGGATAAGTCATTTTCAATATTTGACGCAGGTGTCTTCTATGACATGCATCAAGTTTGTCAAATAGGTTCTGAGGGGTAGCCCAGCTATTGCAGTTATAGAGCATAACAGATGTAACGTATGCTTCGTATATCTTAATCTTGGTCTTCAGATTAATCTTAGATCCTTGCATCCAAACTTTCTTGTATTTTTCGAATGCAACATTTCCAAGGATTATACGATGCTGTATGTCTTCTTTACTACATAGCTTAGAGCCTAGGGACACACACTTCCTCCAAGGTTCTCTATTTCTTAGAGGTTCTCCTTTTTCGTCCTTCTCACTACTTCCAGCCAGATAACACTTTACAAACTCGGTTTTAGATTCATTTACAAACAAATTCCATTCTGAGAGAATTTCCTTGCAAATTGGAAGGAGCTGGTGTAAAGAATCCTCATCTTCATCAGCAAAGTCCACATCATCAGCATATTCCCATTCTAAAGTTTAAGTTTAACTATGTTTATTATGATATTATTATTCATTGTAATGTGGCAATAAAATTTAAATTTTGTTTTACTCTTTTTTTTTAATTTGTTTTACTTATATTTTTACATAGTGCGATGATATTTTGTAGGCATGATGTGATGTCATACATTTTACTTTACTTTACTTTATTGTAGCTGTACTTTATGATAAAACACAAACAACAAAGCTTTGAAATATACTGTCTCTTTTTGAGATTTGAATAACATTACTGTAATGTTTCAAATTATATTTTAAATGTCCAACAAAAATGAAGATATTTCATTTTATTATTACGTAAACTGTATCCATGAAATATTAATTTCTTTAGTGTTTAACCATTGCGCTAAGCGCTTGCAATAGTTTGATTGACGATGTCAACCCATCGAGATCGTTGCTCTGCGAATTCTTAAATTATTGATTTTTTGAAGGGTTGTTTTTATATAGGGTCATTGTGACAATTATGTGTATATTGTTTGAATAATTTTATATAATTTAGTTGAGATGTGTGTGAACTGTGACCAACCAGTTATAATTTTTGGAAAACAACATTTATGCAGTCAAAATCTTTTACGGTCCAATCGAGCAGGGCGTGGTTATGTTGATTAGTTAATAGCACACGTTTTAGCTGATAGGATACTACACAGTACACAGTCATCCATTGTTACCCCTGACCATAAATGAAAGTTCTCTCTGCTTTTATAGATGGCAAAAAGCTTGCAAATTCTGTGTTGCTAAGGCCCAGTCTGTGTTGCTTGGGCCAAGGCGCATTCACTTTTTCTTCTGTTGAAGAAAATAACCCCAAGTGATTTAGGAATGACACTAAGGAATTAAAAATAAAGCACGGTTGATACATCTGAAAAGAAAGGCTCTATGTCAACCATCCAGAGTGTGCTGAAATTTGTGCAGATACAATTATCTCCTAAATCACAACAAAGGAATCAACATAGTAATTATAGCATTGGTAAGTTGCAAAATTGAACCTCTGCTGCTTAAGGGGGCAGGAGGGGTCATTATGAAATTTCTCTCAAAATTGATTTCACAGTTGTTAGAGGTTCTGATACAGACTTCTGATAGAGGGGAGTGATATCTATCAGCTGCTTTTGTTGCCATGATGGAAAAATATTGTTCTTAGCCGAAGTTAGCCGCCGGTCAAAGGTCAGCGCTCATGTGTAATTGTATTGCGCAAATGATTTTCAATCGCACGCCCTGAAAATCGAGTCTAAAAATCTTCCCCTACATTTTTTGAGCAATCACCTTGAAACTTTCGGGATATGTTCTAAGCACCATTTAGAAGATTCTGGTTTATCATGATTTTTAGAAAAGTTTTTATCCGATTTTGAAAATCTTGGACCTGGAAAATTGTCAAAAAACGAGGTCCAAGATTTTCAAAATCGGATACAAAAATTTTTAAAGCCTATCTTATAGTTCTGATAAACGAGAATTTTCTAAATGGTCCTTAGAACATGTCCTGAAAGTTTCAAGGTGATTGCTTTAAAAATGTTGAGAAGATTTTCAGGGCACAGAATTGAAAATCACTTGTGCAATACAATTACACATGAGAGCTGACTTTTGACCGGCGATAACTTTGGCTACGAAAAGTATTTTTCCATGGCATCAAAAGCAGCTGATAGATATCACTCCCCTCTATCAGAAACAACTACAAAATCAATTTCTAGAGAAATTTTATAAAGACCCCCTGCCCCCTTAATGACGGCTATAACAAAACCTTCAAGACTTTCAAACTTTGCTTCCAGTATTATGGTTCATGCAGAATTGGCATGCTTTGTAATTGCGTTGTACCAGTGGCGTAACGAAGGGCCCCGCCAACCCCGCTGTGCAGGGGTGCTATCATAGGGGGTGCCAAATTGTCATTTTAATGTGGGACAATTTCGAAAAACATAACTACAGTATAACTATCCTATAAAATCATCTAATTTGTTCAATTTTAGGGAGGGCGCCAAAAGGGGAGGGGCCCCAACAGGCAACGTTACGCCACTGCGTTGTACATTTTATAATAGATATTGAACAGACGTTATATTAAACAGAGAACAGATATGAATTTAGGGGCTGTAGAGTCCTGCCCGCTACTAAATGATTACAAGCAAAAGTTACTTTGGTCTCGTTTCCCTCAGTCTGTCCTTGGAGGACTCAGGTAATCAATAATCAGTTATTTTGTAATTAGGGTGAAAATTTCAGCATTTAAATGAGAAACTCTATAGCTAAGGATCCTCTCCATAAACTAAATCTTTAGGGCACCTAATATTTAAAAATGTTTTCAACACAATTCATTCAAAAAAAGGGGGTTTTAGAGGAATTGGTCTATTGGGGATAATATAAGGTGTGCTGCTAAACTGAAAGTGTCATTATTATCTTTATAAGGAAATACTTCAATGAAATCAAATGCAGTATTTCTATTACGCGCATATGATTAACCAACAACACAAGGACTGTGGTTAACCATGTAGTACAGACAGATCCGTCTGAAAAAATCGATCTGCCTACACACAAAGCTTACAAAGGATTTTTGACTTCTTTGAGTCCCATTAAGTGCCCTTTATGGCTGACCAACTTTTCCAAACTTTTCCACTTGTCTTAGGGTCACTTTTTGCCACTTTACCACTTTTTACCACCTTTCTTGTTTGTCGAATATCTTAAGTTGTGAACATCATAAAAGGTTGCATATTAATCGAGGGTGTTCATATTATCAGGAATAAAAACTTTCGTACAGACAATTTTTACGTCAGATAATCAGTTAATTGGATAATTATCAATTAGCTACTTAGCAAAAATTCAAAATTTTTGTATTGGCTCAAAATGATTGGAATAGCTTAAAACACGGAGAAAAGTAGTTTCTAGAAAAACTTCGCAAATTTCATGTGACTAAATTTTTCGGTGACTAATTTTGAAGTAGACCGAAATTTTAGTAGAGCATATATGAATTAATTTTTATTGAGCTTACTTTCTTTATCATATGTTTATGATAAATAGTTAAATATTGCTAACTGTACACAGGTCCCTACTGGTGTAATAAGAAATTTTATGCTATGATATGTAACTAATGTATGTAATGTTGGCTCGAAAAGTCAAAAAATTCGACTAAAATTGTTGTAGACTAAAAATTTGAGAAATTTGTGCCAAAAATTATGGTAACCAAAATTATAGTAACCAAATTTATTGTGACCCAAATTTGTTGGCCCTAAGATATTTGTAGTTGGAGTTGAGTTAATGTCGGCAGATTTTAGTAATCAGGAATTACTAAGTCGAAAGGGCTGAAACTGAAAAACGTTAACCACAGGATATTAGAGTTTTATAATTAATTCGATCGATTTTCACAGAAACTGCACCAAAGGCACATTTAAGATCGAACCGATAGCCTGCTGTACTATTACTAGTACTATCACTTTATTGATTTCAATGATGAATCAGTGGGGTTAAGATAATCCCATAATATGTAATAAATAAAACCTCTTCGAGTCTGTACTGTCAATTGTGCTAATCTGAACCGACCTACCTGGATTACCATCTACCTCTTCTTTTCCTCAATAATCAGACCGAGTTGTGGAAGAAATGTGATTCAGTGGGTGATGTAAGTACTTATCGAGCTGTATTCAATCACAATAGTAATATACGTTTCATGCTATTTGATAACTTTTGGCGAAAAACAATTTCGAAAATTTCGAAAAAGTCTTGAAAAAAAATGTACGTAAATGAAAAATTTTCGAAGTTTTTCAAAAAACTTACCGGAAAAATCAAATAAATGGAATAGAAAATGGTCTCGAAAAGTTGAAAATTGTGACTAAAATTATTGTAGACTATAAATTTGTAACCAAATTGATTGGCCTTAAGGTGCATTCGTGTAACAATATTGGAATATCCGAAGTAAAATAAATGTTAGATTTTTTAAATGATTCGGTCGGTCTCTCCTACTGTCTGGTCTTGACAGAGGTTCTACTTTTATCTAGGTACACCGTATGCAGAACACTTGTATTTCTGCAGAGTAAAAAAAATGCATGCGGAGTAAACAAAGATAATTATGGCATTCAGCAATTGTTTAGGTTAGTAAAAGTAATTTATCCTATTTCAGGTTAAGAAGTGTTGCAGTGTCAGCTATCATCGGTCAACTTCTCCTATTTTTACTGCCCATCATTCTAGCCGCTATATCAACATTTGCGAATTATTGTAAGTAACTATGGTAACTAGTAGTGTAACTATGGTAACATGTAGTGTAACTATGGTAACTAGTAGTGTAACTATGGTAGCTAGTAGTGTAACTATGGTATTTGCGAATTATTGTAAGTAATAATTTTGTAATTTGTAAAGTTCGTAGATTCCTCTACAGGGTCATCGAATAGTTCGACCGCCCTTGTTTTACAGTACACTACATTGTAGATGTTCTGAAGGAGTATCCTAAGATTCTTGATCTTTTGGCAAAGGCACCCCTCCTCATTTAACCCTCAATTTAACCCTCAATCAAGATCGCATAGATCCAATGAATCCTTAGCTACTCCCTAGACTGAGTGACACTGGGATTCGAACCCTTAACCTTCTGTACAGAAGGCGGAAGCTCTAACCACTAGGCCACCCAGCCCCAGTACATATTATTTTGTTCGAACTGGAAAGGGGCTCTTTAAACAAAGCAAGAGCTTCGGATGTCATGAAGGGACCACACAAAAGCTATGTGTATAATCTGCTAATCTGTATATAAGTGGCTTAGGGAAGAGGAGGGTTGAATAGATCAAAATATACGTTATTTTTAAATCTTTCCGAAGATGATTGTAGGCTCTATAATATGGAAAATGCTTTGTTTCGGGGGACCCCCCCCCCCCCCCCCCCCCCTCCTGTTTCAACCCCTGGCATATTTTAATAGTCTCTAAATTGTGCTAATTACGATAAGAAAAAGTGAATTTTTTTCAAATCTAATCATTTAACTTGATACCTTAATTACACAATTTTTCCTCAGATTCCTCAGATTCCCCCCAACCATTCTTGTTGATAAATGGAACATTTGGCATTGTTCTCTTCCTTGCGCTGACAGTCTTGAAAACACTTCCACTACCGAAGACTAATAAAATTTCCCAAGACCTCCCGACCTATAGATTTTCTTTAGAGGAGGAAAGCGTTATTTCCAATAATTTTCTGACCTGGGAAAACTTGACTTTCCTATTCCCGAGACACGGGCATTATCTGTTCAGAATTATTGACCCATTTTGCTACGCACTGACATTTACCCTTGGATGTGAAGTGTCGCGAATATCATACATGAGATCTATCCTTCAACTTCAAGATGAGGCTTATATACCTCTTTTTATTTTTATGTGGTTCTCTTACCTGGTCGGATTATATCCACTGATATCAAACGTTCCGGCTGAAGTCGCTACTTACAAAGGCCATGACACAGCTGGTACAGATCATCTCTACCGACCCTGCTATCTGCTGGGGTTATCCGGGACTATTTTTCTTCTGCTTATTGTGTAAGTACTTACTATTATGAAAATAATTATGGGTATGTATGGAATTGCACATTTTTATTCTGAATTTCCTTATTAATAATGTTATCAATCAACATTCATGATAATTTGTTTTTTATATCACTTTATTTTCGATCCTCGGCATTGCTTTTCAATGTGATAACTTTGACTCTGTTTGTTTTATTCTTTAGAGAGCGGTTTATAGGAAAGTGGAAACTAGAATAGCTGTGGTCATTATCATAATATTATAGGGAGGAAGCTAATATTATTTACAAGACAGATGTCGTTATGCTAGTCAGGGTCACGTATTACGTTACTACTAAAGGGGGAGAGGTTTGTAAATGATTAAGCTAGTGTAATTTTGTATACACAATAGCTATGTGTAAAACAAAATAACGGAGGGTTAAGTGCAGCCTGGGAGACTGAGAGTAACTTAATAATTGAAGGTACAGGTGTTTCTAGATTATCATTGATTCAGATACAGTAAAACTCCGATTTACCGCGCCCCGATTTATATGTTTTTTTCCCAACAATTTAGATCCTTTTTTATCCTTTTTTCGACAGTTTGGTCCGAATTTTAAGACAATTTGAGTTTTCTGTACCCTAAAGACATATTTGTCCAGGTCTAATTATTTCTTCTTTAACGGCTTAGTGGCTCAGTTGGTTAATCCGCCTGGTATTGCTTGAGGTACCAGGTTCGATTCCCGACTCTGTCACTAGCCGTGGGGTGAGCGTCGTCGACGTCAGCTAAGGATCCTGAGTGGTCTATGCAGCCCCCCGGTCCACTCAGCCAAATACTCGAGAAATCGGGTGTGAGGGTTAAATGAGGAGCTGCCCATTGCAGCAAAGTCTCGGGCGAAGAAAGTATGGTACACACTACCTTAACCGTCACTGGCCTAATGTGTAATTGAATCCTTCGGCTTCCTGTAATTGGCTGGTTTAAACGTTTGAAAAATTGGTGTTGGTGGGGCCCGAAGTAAAAAAAAATTTTTTTGGTTAAAAAAAAAAATTTTTTAAGTTTTGCAACTGTTTTTCGTAATCTGGTTTAATGAAAAGGAGGAAGCCCCTTAAGTCACTAAGAATTATTTGGGGGGGGGATACCCTGATTGGAACTTATTGATCCTTATTTTAAATAAACTATTTGTAAATAGTAGGAAAGTGAAGATACGACCCCCCCGTCCCCCTTCACAGTTTAAAATTAGAGGGGCCAAAAAACGCAAGAAATTTTAGTTTAAAAAAAATTTCAAAATAAGTTTATTATTTTTAGATTGCTAACCCATAATAGGGTTTCATTACAAAAAAAATCACATTTAAAATTTGGGGCTTTACCACCCATTTTAAAAACCATTTTTGGACCCTAAATCAAAACCCCGTTTTTTCCCCGGGGGTTTTTGCTTTCTCCCGGTACGAAATTTGCCAGTGGGCGCAAAAACCTCATGAAGATGTTTCCAAGTTGGGAGCCCCGGCTCGTGAAAACCTGTAAAAAAATCCCTTTTTAAAGACACGGTAAAAAACGGAACACGGGGACACGGTACACGGTACAACCGGTACACACCGGGACACGGTAATCAACGGTTTTAAAACCGGTAAACAAGGTACACGTACACGGGGGCGATTTATACCCTTTCCCTCTGAGTTTTTTCCTTCTCCGCTTTTCCTTTTTTTGGGAGGATTTTCCCCGGGGTATGGGCCGGCTAATTAGTATATACTAATAACTAATTTGGCGGGGGTTGCTTCGTCGAGAACGCAAGCGGGGGATTCGAAAAATGGTCGAAAGTGGGCTTGTTGCAAAGTGGAGAAGAAAAATTTTAGATAAAAATTATTTTCCTGGGTTTTACCTGAAAAAAAAACTAAATTTCAAACCCAAATAAAATGTAGGGGGACCGGGGGGGGTTATTTTAAAACATATTTTAAAAGGTTCTATGGGATACAAAATAAAGTGATTAACTTTTTTACATAATTTTGGGAAATTTTAGGGGCCAAGAAGATTTTAAAAACCTTTTGAACTAAATAAAAAATCTCTGGCCCACTTCAATATAATCAAATGAAAAAAAAGGGGTCGTAAAAAGGGGGAAAAGGGCGACGGCCTGCTTGCCGCACTGCGATTTCGTAAAACTGTTTGAAAAAATTTTTAATTTTTTACATTTAATAAGGTTTTATCATCGGCAGGACCTCCCAAGTCCTTTCAAAAAAGTGACTCTATACAACGCTGCGAATTGTTCCACTGAGTGAGCGTGTTTTTTCCCTGCCGGGGAGAATGCCGGTCACATCCTCCGCAGTGAAATAAATCACCTGCCCAGCTTCCTTACATTTTGCTAAGAGTCAAGTTTGAGAGAGGTAGAGTCGGGCGACCCACAAACTTGGGTTAAAAACTATTTTTTAACGATTTAAGTGACGAAAAAATTTTGACTTGTAATACAGACGATTTATACCATTTTAAAATTTTGCAACAGATAGAAAAGCATGGAGAAGGTTTTAAACATGATTATTTTATTTTCGTGTTATTTTTTTTCGGGACTTTTCATCATCAAATGTTCTTTATGTCTATTTTTTGATTTGAATAAAGTTTTTTTAAAAATAAAGGTTCTAACATTTTATTATACAGTTTTTAAAAGAAAAAACTTTCAGGTAGGTGAAAATCCAAATAATCAGTTGAAAAAAAATGGTCCGTGGAGCGCAAAAATAAAATTTAAAATTTTTTGCTATTCGTCTCCTACCAATATTTTTTCAGCAGGAGCTTTTTTTGTGCTCCCCCAATGTTTTTTTTTCAGCAGGGCCTCCCCCCAATCACATGAAAAATTTACAATAAAAGAAGATTAGGTTCTCAACCGCGCTTGATATAATTTTTTTTAAATGTATTACTTTTTTTAATTTTAAGATATAAAAAAAATTTTAAAATAGTAATAAATTTTGTCATTGAAATATTGCACGGCTCAAAAGGGGCCAAATTTATTCAGGGCTGTTACCAGCGCAGGGTTTGCTACTTGTTACCGCCCCCAAAACAACTTTTTCTTTAATTTTTCAGGGTTGTTGGCCCCCCTAAATTGCCCTTCTCGGCTACCAGAAACAGGCTTGTCCCTATTCAATGGTAAAAATCTGCCAGCACTTCCCCTTTTTGGGGGTTTGTTTATATAGCAAAAAAATAACTGTCTTTTTTGACAAGGCAGAAAAAAATCTAAAAGTTAGGGGAAAAACCTCAATTTAATGTTCCCCCATTTCCGTAACACTTTTGAAAGTTTCTAAAGTTATGGGGAAAAACCCAAATTTTAATTTTCCCTTTTTTACCGAACAAGGCAAGAAAGTATCAAAAGTTATGGGTAAAACCCAATTTAAGTTTTCCCTTATTTACCAACTTTTGAAAAAAAACTAAAAGTTGGGTAAAAAACCCAAATTTTAAGTTCCCTTATTTTTCCGAAACAAGGCAAGAAAAACTAAAGTTTTTGGGTAAAACCTCAATTTAATGTCCCCCTTTTTTCCGTAAAACAAAAGGGGGAAGGGAGGGGATCCCCCAAAAGTTTTTTATTTGGGGTATAAAAACCTCAATTTAAAAAAAAGGGGGCCCCTAGGCCCTTACCGGTAAAAAAAGGCGGGGAAAAAAAATTTTTCGAAAAAAAATTTTTGGGGATTTGGGGGTAAACCAATTTAAAAAATTTCCTTATTTTTACCGTTTTTTAAACTAGGCAAAAGGGGGAAAGTATTTTTCCCCCCCCCCAAATTTGGGTTTTGGGTAAAAAAACCCCAATTAATGTTCCCCCATTTCCGTAACAAGGCAAGAAAGTACTAAAAGTTATGGGTAAAACCTCAATTTAAGTTCCCTTTTTTTTACCGTAAACACTTTTTGAAATATTAAAAGTTATGGGTAAAACCTAAATTTTAAGTTCCCTTTTTTTACCGTAAAAAAGGCAAGAAAAATACTAAAAAGTTTTTGGGAAAACCCAATTTAATGTTCCCTATTTACCGAACACTTTAAAAAAAAATCTAAAATTTTTGGGGAAAACCCAAATTTAATGTTCCCTTATTTCCCCTAAAAAGGGAAGAAAATAACTAAAAGTTTTGGGTAAAAAACCTCAATTTAATTTTTCCCTTATTTACCGTAACACAGAAAGTTCTAAAAGTTAGGGGGAAAAACCCCAAATTTTAATGTTCCCTTATTTTCCAAAAAAAGGCGGAAAATTAAATAAAAAAAGGGGGCCCCAAAAAAACCGCCCTTAGGTTTTTTTTCGGGGAAAAAATCCCAAAAAATTTTGGGGTTTAAAATGTTTTTTTCCGCGGGGCCAAAAGTTGGGCCCCAAAAGCCCCCAAAAGGGGGCAACTAGCGCTGGCCGCGCAGGCGCAACCCAGCGCTGTTTTCGAAACGCCGCTGGGGGGCCAATTGCGCTGGTGGCAAACAACCGGGTGGAATTATAGCCCCCCCAACAACTAAAATAGCGCCAGCCCCTGGGGCGCAATAGGCGGATGGCAAACAAAGCCTGGAAAAGCAACAATTTTCGCATATATTTTTTTTGCCTGGCCAGGGTTATCCACCTGGAAAGGCGTAGCGACAACTAGCGCGGAAAGCCATTCGCATATAAATTTTGCGGCTCCAGCCGTTAAACCAGTGGGGGCGATACGACAAAAGGGGATAAAGTATTGTCCCAAAGCCCTTAATTTCCCCCGGGGGAAAATACAAAAGAAGGGGAAAAAAACCCAAATTAATGTTCCCTTATTTAGAAACAGAAGTACCCAAAAAAGTTATGGGTAAAACCTCAATTTAATGTTCCCTTATTTACCGTAACACTTCCCTTTTCCCTATTTTTTTAATGACTCGATTGACATTCAGTGACAAATAGATATGCATGTTGAAATAATCAAATAGATATAATACATGTAAGAATTTTTCTATGAGCATCATTTTCTTTTGATTTTTAACAAATCTATGAACACTAGCAATTAATTTTGTTGCATCTATCTAACTTCTTTTCACTTCAGAACATTGGTGCAGTTGGTAGTAACAGTAACTCTGACAGCTGTGATACATAATGTACCACACCACAATTTGACATGGCTTGTTGCTACAGTTTCTGCTCTGCTCAGTTGCAATGTTCTTGCGTTACAGAGAGGTTAGTTGGAACTTCCTTTCGGACTCAATATTTTACAAGGATATTTTACAGGATTCAAATTAATACTGCATGGCATGGTGATATAAATCATCAGTACTAAAATTCAAATCTGATGTATAAAATACCGTTAATAATAATATGTTTCCTAAGTCCAAACAAAGACAATATTTTAAGTTTTCTCAGAACATAACAAATAAACACAGTTCGGCTATGCTGGGTGCTACCCTCCAGCTATAGTCAAGCTTGTCCCCCTGAATCCTGATAACATAGCGAACTGTTTTATGCATAAATTATGAAACATTATTAACTACACTTATGCAACTTCTATAATGAAATGATATTTCAATCGAATGACAGAATTGGTCATTTTTTATTCGAATAAAGCTGTATAATAATTGGACTATTTCGGTATGAACTTGTGCCATTCTTTGTCAAATTTTCCGATTCGATCGGTAAATGTCCATTGTCCTCATACCATACACTATAAAACTAAGAAAAAGGATAGTTTGCGTTGGAATCTGTCTTTATCCAATAGAATGCTTTAAGTTTACGGAATTATGGGTTGAAAGGAGAAGATACTAGGCACTAGGCAGGCAGGGGTTTCAAGGAATCGCCAAATGAGAGTAGGTATTTACCACTGATGAGAATTTCATTCATCATTGACCCAGAAAGTTAGACAGTGTATTATAACATATTATTTAGTATATACTAAAACTGTGCTTCAGGTCATTTTTTGTCTCAACTGTGCCCCAAGTGTGCCCCAGCTGTGCCCCAACTGCATCTGCCCCAAGTGTGCCCCAAGTAACTTTATGCCCCAACTGTGCCCCAACTGTGCCCCAGGGAATACAATTTTGTGCCCCAACTGGGGCACAGTTGTGCCTAGCTAGATTACCAAATTGCCCTTTTATGTTTAATATTATATTTATTATCAGCAGGAGAGCCTGTAGAGTGTACAGTTGTATCAGGTGGCCTTCTAACTTGCCCCAACAATACCAAGGATTATACGTAACAGGTTTTTAAGTTCCAATTATTCATCAGGGGTTTATAAAAGTCTAAAGTTTTGGATGAGCTTAGCGTTCAGTACCTTCATCAGTTTGACAATATCTATCACATCTCCTTTAATGGATATACAGGTGTGTTTACCTTTATCTCTTTATTAAATCATGTTTCGATATATAACTGTATAACTACTGCGTGACTTGAATTTAAATATTATTATTATTCCTATTGGTAATCTTTCTTCGCTCTTATGAGTGTAGTGGGTCGATCATATAGTTTGATAGTTGGTGACGAAGTGAGAGTCTCCACTCAGTATTGACACTGTGTTATTACTGAGTGGAGACTACTAATAGGAATAATAATAATATTTAAATTCAAGTTACAAATTATTCAACAGGATCATACCAACAAAAATTATTTAAAAGATTAAATACTGAAAGATATATTTAAAATGAGATATATATTTTTTAAATTTTTAAAAGATTGAATAATGGTAATCTGTGCCCATAATACAAGTTGTCCCAACATTTATTGCAAGCATCTTTCACCTCCTTAAGTTCATTAAAGCTATTAATAATCGTATTTCTTACACCTAAAGGCTAAATCACTTCTTAGAACAGATAACAAGTTCATCCTCGGTCTGCCTAATCTACCAGCAAACAGATTGTCAGATTGAATGGCGAATGCACCCCCCTGCTGAGCAGTGCCACTTGAACTGTTTTACTGGCTCCTGAGAATATGGCCGAACATCTTCCAACGCCGATACTCAATAATCAATATGCTCAGACACAGGGGGGTAACGTTGCGGCACTGCTCAGACACAGGGGGGTAACGTTGCGGCACTGCTCAGACACAGGGGGGTAACGTTGCGGCACTGCTCAGACACAGGGGGGTAACGTTGCGGCACTGCTCAGACACAGGGGGGTAACGTTGCGGCACTGCTCAGACACAGGGGGGTAACGTTGCGGCACTGCTCAGACACAGGGGGTAACTTTGCGGCACTGCTCAGACACAGGGGGTAACGTTGCGGCACTGCTCAGACACAGGGGGGTAACGTTGCGGCACTGCTCAGACACAGGGGGGTAACGTTGCGGCACTGCTCAGACACAGGGGGGTAACGTTGCGGCACTGCTCAGACACAGGGGGGTAACGTTGCGGCACTGCTCAGACACAGGGGGGTAACGTTGCGGCACTGCTCAGACACAGGGGGGTAACGTTGCGGCACTGCTCAGACACAGGGGGGTAACGTTGCGGCACTGCTCAGACACAGGGGGTAACTTTGCGGCACTGCTCAGACACAGGGGGTAACGTTGCGGCACTGCTCAGACACAGGGGGGTAACGTTGCGGCACTGCTCAGACACAGGGGGGTAACTTTGCGGCACTGCTCAGACACAGGGGGGTAACGTTGCGGCACTGCTCAGACACAGGGGGGTAACGTTGCGGCACTGCTCAGACACAGGGGGGTAACGTTGCGGCACTGCTCAGACACAGGGGGGTAACGTTGCGGCACTGCTCAGACACAGGGGGGTAACGTTGCGGCACTGCTCAGACACAGGGGGGTAACGTTGCGGCACTGCTCAGACACAGGGGGGTAACGTTGCGGCACTGCTCAGACACAGGGGGGTAACGTTGCGGCACTGCTCAGACACAGGGGGGTAACGTTGCGGCACTGCTCAGACACAGGGGGTAACTTTGCGGCACTGCTCAGACACAGGGGGTAACGTTGCGGCACTGCTCAGACACAGGGGGGTAACGTTGCGGCACTGCTCAGACACAGGGGGGTAACGTTGCGGCACTGCTCAGACACAGGGGGTAACGTTGCGGCACTGCTCAGACACAGGGGGGTAACGTTGCGGCACTGCTCAGACACAGGGGGGTAACGTTGCGGCACTGCTCAGACACAGGGGGGTAACGTTGCGGCACTGCTCAGACACAGGGGGTAACTTTGCGGCACTGCTCAGACACAGGGGGTAACGTTGCGGCACTGCTCAGACACAGGGGGTAACGTTGCGGCACTGCTCAGACACAGGGGGTAACTTTGCGGCACTGCTCAGACACAGGGGGTAACGTTGCGGCACTGCTCAGACACAGGGGGTAACGTTGCGGCACTGCTCAGACACAGGGGGGTATCGTTGCGGCACTGCTCAGACACAGGGGGGTAACGTTGCGGCACTGCTCAGACACAGGGGGTAACGTTGCGGCACTGCTCAGACACAGGGGGTAACTTTGCGGCACTGCTCAGACACAGGGGGTAACGTTGCGGCACTGCTCAGACACAGGGGGGGGTAACGTTGCGGCACTGCTCAGACACAGGGGGTAACGTTGCGGCACTGCTCAGACACAGGGGGGTAACGTTGCGGCACTGCTCAGACACAGGGGGGTAACGTTGCGGCACTGCTCAGACACAGGGGGTAACGTTGCGGCACTGCACAGACACAGGGGGGTAACGTTGCGGCACTGCTCAGACACAGGGGGTAACTTTGCGGCACTGCTCAGACACAGGGGGTAACTTTGCGGCACTGCTCAGACACAGGGGGTAACTTTGCGGCACTGCTCAGACACAGGGGGGTAACGTTGCGGCACTGCTCAGACACAGGGGGTAACGTTGCGGCACTGCTCAGACACAGGGGGTAACGTTGCGGCACTGCTCAGACACAGGGGGGGTAACGTTGCGGCACTGCTCAGACACAGGGGGTAACGTTGCGGCACTGCTCAGACACAGGGGGTAACGTTGCGGCACTGCTCAGACACAGGGGGGTAACGTTGCGGCACTGCACAGACACAGGGGGGTAACGTTGCGGCACTGCTCAGACACAGGGGGGTAACGTTGCGGCACTGCTCAGACACAGGGGGGTAACGTTGCGGCACTGCTCAGACACAGGGGGGTAACGTTGCGGCACTGCTCAGACACAGGGGGGTAACGTTGCGGCACTGCTCAGACACAGGGGGTAACGTTGCGGCACTGCTCAGACACAGGGGGGTAACGTTGCGGCACTGCTCAGACACAGGGGGGTAACGTTGCGGCACTGCTCAGACACAGGGGGGTAACGTTGCGGCACTGCTCAGACACAGGGGGTAACGTTGCGGCACTGCTCAGACACAGGGGGTAACGTTGCGGCACTGCTCAGACACAGGGGGGTAACGTTGCGGCACTGCTCAGACACAGGGGGTAACGTTGCGGCACTGCTCAGACACAGGGGGGTAACGTTGCGGCACTGCTCAGACACAGGGGGTAACGTTGCGGCACTGCTCAGACACAGGGGGTAACGTTGCGGCACTGCTCAGACACAGGGGGGTAACGTTGCGGCACTGCTCAGACACAGGGGGTAACGTTGCGGCACTGCTCAGACACAGGGGGTAACGTTGCGGCACTGCTCAGACACAGGGGGTAACGTTGCGGCACTGCTCAGACACAGGGGGTAACTTTGCGGCACTGCTCAGACACAGGGGGGTAACGTTGCGGCACTGCTCAGACACAGGGGGGTAACGTTGCGGCACTGCTCAGACACAGGGGGTAACGTTGCGGCACTGCTCAGACACAGGGGGGTAACGTTGCGGCACTGCTCAGACACAGGGGGTAACTTTGCGGCACTGCTCAGACACAGGGGGGTAACGTTGCGGCACTGCTCAGACACAGGGGGGTAACGTTGCGGCACTGCTCAGACACAGGGGGGTAACGTTGCGGCACTGCTCAGACACAGGGGGTAACGTTGCGGCACTGCTCAGACACAGGGGGTAACGTTGCGGCACTGCTCAGACACAGGGGGTAACTTGGCGGCACTGCACAGACACAGGGGGCGGCACTGCACAGACACAGGGGGGGGCCGCTGCTCAGACAGCATTTCAACATTACATATTTTGTATACCGTATCGTTCCTGATCATCCCTTTTGGCCACTTGATGTTCAAGATTGTCTTTAGGTGTCACCGGTGAAGTGTATCGATTTTGTCCATGGTGGCTTTTTTAGGACTTCAAATGTTCGAGTTGTATAATAGTAGCAAGGATACCACTTGGGGCGTCATATTATAGAGCCTCAGTTAGCTACACTGACTACACACTTGTAGAGCCTCAGTTTTCTTTCAAAGGATATCTTATACCCGGATAGCCACACTTTCTTAAACTTTTTAAAGGCTAGGTCAGCTAATATTCTTCTCCTTTGAATGTCTTTCTCGGTGCAATGAAGAGACCCCAGGGATTTGGAACCATGGGTCATTATTAGCTAATGGCTGACCATTTTTGTCCATGTCCAATTTGTTCGCCACAGTACTGAACTCTGTTTTGCTTTCATTCAGTTGAAGGTTCCAGTCCGTTAGAACTTCCTTCGCTGCAGAAAAGAATGTTTTATAAGTTTCTCAATGTCTTCGTCGGCAAAATCACAACCATCTGAGTATTCAGGCACTCAACAAATCAACTACCGAGAATTACCTAAGGAATACGTAAAACTATACGATTAACACACTAGTCACTATCAACCATATGCCACATTTTTCACTGCCCATTCACTGTCATATTGATAACGCTAGCAGGTGCTGATAAGACATGGGCTCAGTTATTTTATTTTATTTTATTTTATTTATTTATTTATTTTTTAAAACTTCAGACAAGAGGACTATACTGATACAGAGCACTATACTATCGACTCTGCACTGCCCACTAATCGTTAATCCGACACAAGTAGCTTATAAAACAGTCCGTGTGATCATCTGTCGTATCAAATCCAATTATTTGTCACTATGTTAATAAATCAAGTTTTTAATTTTTTAAGTTTTGGTTTTTTTTAATGAATAAACGTAGAAGGTTACGTACATCATAATTTTCAATTCTCATATTCACGTATATTAAATAAAATTATGTGGTTATGTATCATATATGATTTTGTAAACATTGGCCGGTGTACCAAAAACTGGTCCCCAAACTTCCACAACCATCTTAATATTCCCATATTTAAATATACAACAACAACAACAACAAAAATTTAAATATATAAATCTATAAATGCACTCATTTACGCTAGGTACATGAGATATGTTAGTTCCATCATTAATTTTCATGCATTTGTCTGACAGTTTTTTTTTTCAGACTGAAAAGTTAGAATACACTTGTCTGATTGTTGTGGCAATGTCCTCTCTACTCATTATGATTCAAAATGTATACTGTTTCAACCTGATCAGGAATCCTTTGTTTTGTGCGATTGATGCATCAAAATCAATAAAATGGGGATTCAAGTAAGTTTCAAGGAGAATATGTTTACGTACTCAAGTAAGCAAATAAATACTAACAAATAGCGGTCTCTGGAGGTGTGATTATCAGAGCACCATTATCAGTATGATATATAATATATACGATGATATCGTGTAATGACATACTTAACAGTTAACGTATTTCAGGCTGTTGAATATGACAAAGTTTTCAGTGTGCCCTGTTGTGTTATCCCTTTATTACAACCATTTATTTAAAAGCTATCATAGTTACACTTGGTTCCAAACCGTCCTTCTGGGCAGAGCATTCAGGTAACTTTCTTTGTATATTAGATAATTCATCTTAAAAACTACATTCCCTGATAAGGCTCGAGATTATCACTGAGGCTCGTGCAGTGGCCGCCCTTAATAATACCACCCTTAATAAAAATTTATCTTCTCCTACATTTTTTTCAGCAATCACCCTCAAACTTTTAGGATATGTTCTAGGGATCATTTAGAAGATTTGACTCGAGCCGAAATTTTATTCGAATTGAAAATCTTGGACCTCAAAAAATCGTCAAAAAACGAGGTCCAAGATTTTCAAAATCGAACAAAAAGTTTTTAAAGGCCTCTCAAATTGCCGCCCTTAATGCCACCCTTAATTCCACCCTTAATGCCGCCCTTAATGCCGCCCTTAATGCCGCCCTTAATTCCACCCTTAATTCCACCCTTAATGCCGCCCCTAATGGCGCCCCCTTAATACCACTCTTAATGCCGCCCTTAATTCCACCCTTAATGCCGCCCTTAAGGGGGCAGGGGGGGTCTTTATGAAATACCTCTCGAAATTAATTTTATAGTTGTTTCTGATAGAGGGGAGTAATATCTACCAGATGCTTTTGGTCCCATGGACAAATTTTGTTCCTAGCCGAAATTATTGCCGATCAAAGGTCAGCGCTCATGTGTAATTGAATTGCGCGAGCGATTTTCAATCGCGCGCCCTGAAAATCGAGTCTAAAAATCTATCTTCTCCTACATTTTTTGAGCAATCACCTTGAAACTTTCAGGATATGTTTTAAGGACCATTTAAAAACTTCTGGTCTATCAGAATTTTAAAATAGGCCTTAGAAAAGTTTTTATTCGATTTTGAAAATCTTGGACCTCGTTTTTTGACGATTTTTTCAGGTCCAAGATTTTCAAAATCGAATAAAAACTTTTCTCAAAAGACCCCCCCCCCCCCCCCTAAAAAGACCCCCCCCTGCCCCCTTAATGGCGCCCTTAATGCCGCCCTTAATAATACCACCCTTAATAAAAATTTATCTTCTCCTACATTTTTTTCAGCAATCACCCTCAAACTTTTAGGATATGTTCTAGGGATCATTTAGAAGATTTGACTCGAGCCGAAATTTTATTCGAATTGAAAATCTTGGACCTCAAAAAATCGTCAAAAAACGAGGTCCAAGATTTTCAAAATCGAACAAAAAGTTTTTAAAGGCCTCTCAAATTGCCGCCCTTAATGCCACCCTTAATTCCACCCTTAATGCCGCCCTTAATGCCGCCCTTAATGCCGCCCTTAATTCCACCCTTAATTCCACCCTTAATGCCGCCCCTAATGGCGCCCCCTTAATACCACTCTTAATGCCGCCCTTAATTCCACCCTTAATGCCGCCCTTAAGGGGGCAGGGGGGGTCTTTATGAAATACCTCTCGAAATTAATTTTATAGTTGTTTCTGATAGAGGGGAGTAATATCTACCAGATGCTTTTGGTCCCATGGACAAATTTTGTTCCTAGCCGAAATTATTGCCGATCAAAGGTTAGCGCTCATGTGTAATTGAATTGCGCGAGCGATTTTCAATCGCGCGCCCTGAAAATCGAGTCTAAAAATCTATCTTCTCCTACATTTTTTGAGCAATCACCTTGAAACTTTCAGGATATGTTTTAAGGACCATTTAAAAACTTCTGGTCTATCAGAATTTTAAAATAGGCCTTAGAAAAGTTTTTATTCGATTTTGAAAATCTTGGACCTCGTTTTTTGACGATTTTTTCAGGTCCAAGATTTTCAAAATCGAATAAAAACTTTTCTCAAAAGACCCCCCCCCCCCCCTAAAAAGACCCTCCCTGCCCCCTTAATGGCGCCCTTAATGCCGCCCTTAATGGCGCCCTTAATGCCGCCCTTAATGCCGCCCTTAATACCACCCTTAATTCCACCCTTAATGCCGCCCTTGATGCCGCCCTTAATATCACCCTTAATATCACCCTTAATGTCGCCCTTAATGCCGCCCTTAATGCCGCCCTTAATGCCACCCTTAATACCGCCCTTAATACCGCCCTTAATGCCACCCTTAATGCCGCACTTAATTCCACCCTTAATGCCGCCCTTAATGCCGCCCTTAATATCACCCTTAATATCACCCTTAATGTCGCCCTTAATGCCGCCCTTAATGCCGCCCTTACAAAACCGGAAAAAGTTCAGGAGTTAATTAATAAATAATGATTTGGTGTATTCGTGTGGTGTTATTGAGTCTCATTCGATAGTTCTTTGATTCAAATTTTTGATTGTTTCTGAATAGACTCCGTGAAGACAGATTCTAATGGAAATAAATATCTGAATAACGTAATCGAGGCAATTTGGTAGTCTAGCTCTAGCTAGGCACACTTGGGGCACAAAAATCGTCAAAAAACGAGGTCCAATATTTTCAAAATCGAACAAAAAGTTTTCAATTTACTTACTTGAAAAGGTCTCCTCCTCACCGTCACCACTCCTGGAACTAACAACACTGAATACAGAACCGCACTCCAACACACCATCGACAACATTACCAGTGAAACGATCACCTGCTACACAGACGGGTCTCTATCAGACTCCGGAAGTGGGGCTGGGTACATCATCACGACTGACAACAACAACACCACCCTGGAAGAGAGATCATTCAAGCTCCCTGATTATTGTACTGTCTACCAGACAGAACTCACTGCAATCATTGAAGCCTGCAAGTATCTCTCATCCTACACCAATTCACACATCATTATATGGTCTGATAGTCTCTCCTCCATACAAGCTATTTCCTCGCTTTCAACGAGGAGCAGAACTACTAGAGACTGTTATGACACCCTTAACGCACTCGGATCGAACAACACTCTAGAGATCCGATGGATCGCAGCCCATATTGGGTTGTGGGGAAATGAAAAAGCGGATGAGCTGGCCAAGCTTGGCACGACCAGCGAACACGTTTTGAAATGCCCAATCCCTCAATCTTACATCAAACGACAAATCAACAACAAAGTCCACAGACTGAATCAGGATATCTGGTTAACGGATGGTCCTAGACACACCAAACTAACACTTGGCCAAAAGCACACCAAAATAATCAATAATATAAACACGTCACTCATCAACAATAGACAAGACTATAGAACCGCAGTCCACCTAATCACGGGCCACTGTGGCTTAAACAAACACCTCCACACCATCCGCAAATCAAGCACCAGTGCTTGTCCTATGTGCGGTGACGGAGAGGAAACTGTCTCACACTTTCTTGGACAGTGCCCAGCTATTGCCCAAATAAGAGGTCAATACTTTCGGGACTACTACCTCTCGGTCAACGACATATTCGACAACCACCACATTACCACAATCGTCAACTTCACAAACCGCACCAAACGCTTAATAGTACCAGAAGAACTGGATCAGACTGGCGTAACTTAGCGCATTAACACATTACATATGCAGCCTTGCCTAACTGATTTATAAACTCATCTGGTACCAAAGCGCGGTATTCCCATTCAGATCATTACCACCACCGTCCTCCACAATTCACACTGTTGTCTCCGATAAACCCCCCCTCATCCCAGAGGTAGGCAAAGCATCTTAATGCTATCCTCTAGTGGGCTTTCTATGCCCAGCCTCTCTTCAAAAAAAAAAAAAAAAAAAAAAAAAAAAAAAAAAAAAAAAAAAAAAAAGGTCTCCTCCTAGTCGTTGGAGTGGCCTGCACCACATAGTAACTCCTTTCTCCGGTGTATTAGACCTCTCCAGTGAACCCTGTCTATAGCTTGTTGTTCTGCATCTTCTATCGTGATGTTATCGACACCTGTGAAGATTGCTGCATCCTCCCGGACACATGACAACCAGTTTTTCCGAGGTCTACCTCTTGACCTTTTACCATGCTTTGGGATCCAGTGCAGAAGATAATTGGGTATTCTTTCTTCTGGCATCCTCACCACATGGCCAAACCATCGGAGTCTAGCTGCTCGTACGAAAGTATCAACAGGGGCGATGTTAGCCCGCTTAAGTACATCAGCATTAGAGACATGATAAAACCATTTGATTTTCAGGATTCTCCTCAGACATCTATGATGGAACACCTCAAATCTTTTCATCTGCGTCTGTGTGGTATTCCATACCTCACTTCCATAAAGCAGTATAGTGAGCACAGCCGCTTTGTAAATCCTGATTTTAGTTGGAGTCTTAATGCTGCGACTGTACCATATACTGCTAAGCTGATAGAATGCCCCAGAGGCCTTTTGAATTCGAGCTGATAGTTCTTTGTCAATTGTTCCATTCGCACTGATGATTGCACCCAAGTAAGTGAAATTGCTGACCTGCTGTATTGGGAGACCTTCCACATTGATGTCCATAGTGTCGTCTTTAGACTTTTTAAAGTTTTTAAAGGCCTCTCAAATTGCCGCCCTTAATGCCACCCTTAATTCCACCCTTAATGCCGCCCTTAATGCCGCCCTTAATGGCGCCCTTAATGCCGCCCTTAATACCACTCTTAATGCCGCCCTTAATTCCACCCTTAATTCCACCCTTAATGCCGCCCCTAATGGCGCCCTTAATGCCGCCCTTAATACCACTCTTAATGCCGCCCTTAATGCCGCCCTTAATTTCACCCTTAATGCCGCCCTTAAGGGGGCAGGGGGGGGGTCTTTATGAAATTCCTCTCGAAATTAATTTTATAGTTGTTTCTGATAGAGGGGAGTAATATCTACCAGATGCTTTTGGTCCCATGGACAAATTTTGTTCCTAGCCGAAATTATTGCCGATCAAAGGTCAGCGCTCATGTGTAATTGTATTGCGCGAGCGATTTTCAATCGCGCGCCCTGAAAATCGAGTCTAAAAATCTATCTTCTCCTACATTTTTTGAGCAATCACCTTGAAACTTTCAGGATATGTTTTAAGGAACATTTAAAAACTTCTGGTCTATCAGAATTTTAAAATAGGCCTTAGAAAAGTTTTTATTCGATTTTGAAAATCTTGGACCTCGTTTTTTGACGATTTTTTCAGGTCCAAGATTTTCAAAATCGAATAAAAACTTTTCTCAAAAGACCCCCCCCCCCCCCCCCCCCCTAAAAAGACCCTCCCTGCCCCCTTAATGGCGCCCTTAATGCCGCCCTTAATGGAGCCCTTAATGCCGCCCTTAATACCGCCCTTAATTCCACCCTTAATGCCGCCCTTAATGCCGCCCTTAATACCGCCCTTAATACCGCCCTTAATGCCGCCCTTAATGCCGCCCTTAATTCCACCCTTAATGCCGCCCTTAATATCACCCTTAATATCACCCTTAATGTCGCCCTTAATGCCGCCCTTAATTCCACCCTTAATGCCGCCCTTAATGCCGCCCTTAATATCACCCTTAATATCACCCTTAATGTCGCCCTTAATGCCGCCCTTAATGCCGCCCTTACAAAACCGGAAAAAGTTCAGGAGTTAATTAATAAATAATGATTTGGTGTATTCGTGTGGTGTTATTGAGTCTCATTCGATAGTTCTTTGATTCAAATTTTTGATTGTTTCTGAATAGACTCAGTGAAGACAGATTCTAATGGAAATAAATATCTGAATAACGTAATCGAGGCAATTTGGTAGTCTAGCTCTAGCTATGCACACTTGGGGCACACTTGGGGCACAAAATTGTATTTCCTGGGGCACAGTTGGGGCATAAAGTGTGCCCCAGGGAAATACAATTTTGTGCCCCAAGTGTGCCCCAAGTGTGCCCCAAGTGTGCCTAGCTAGATTACCAAATTGCCCGTAATCGACATTTCTACGTCATACTCATAATTGTTATATGTTAACAAATAATTTGAGAAGATGAGTATGACGTAGAAATGTCCATACGTTATTCAGATATTTATTTCCATTAGAATCTGTCTTCACTGAGTCTATTCAGAAACAATCATAAATTTGAATCAAAGAAATAATGATTTATTACAATTGCAGGGAAATTTGGCAGAATAATCAGCACTGTCAGGCCGCTACGTCCTTATTTGTAATAATACGACTTTCCTCTGATTCTGTTCAGTTAACTAATACTGATCCTATCACTTCGCTGTGGCTGTGCAGTGTTTTCGTCTACTTCCTGAAGAAGGTCAGCAATAGCTGGACATTAATTGTTAATTAATATTAGCAAACTTATCGTCCATTGATATGAATTTCTATTCATATTTGAATTGTGAGTACCATACCAGGACAAACTGTTACAATTAAGCATTTTTCTCGGTCGCCAATAGAGTTATCGCTAAAATAGAGTTATCGCTAAAATAGAGTTATCGCTAAAATAGAGTTATCGCTAAAATAGAGTTATCGCTAAAATAGAGTTATCGCTAAAATAGAGTTATCGCTAAAATAGAGTTATCGCTAAAATAGAGTTATCGCTAAAATAGAGTTATCGCTAAAATAGAGTTATCGCTAAAATAGAGTTATCGCTAAAATAGAGTTATCGCTAAAATAGAGTTATCGCTAAAATAGAGTTATCGCTAAAATAGAGTTATCGCTAAAATAGAGTTATCGCTAAAATAGAGTTATCGCTAAAATAGAGTTATCGCTAAAATTTGCTACTTTAGAAATTAAGAAGACTTCTCTGTTAGAGAAAAAATTAGAAAAATTAGAAAAATTAGAAAAGTTAACTTATTTTTATTTAGGGTTAAGACAACTTGATTTCTGTTTGTAACACTGTTTGACTGACTTTACCACTACCAGGGACTGAGAAGACTACACGTGTGTTTTAAACTGCAGTTCGATTTTGTTGCCCTAAAAAAACAGCGGCGGAAGGAAAGCCACCTCATAACAGCAGCGAATGTAATCTTCCTACCAGTTGTTATTTGCGTCGCCATGGTTACTGCTGGACTCAACATACCCCTCCTACCTCTCTTTACGTATACAAAATTTGAATTATTTCCATCATATTGGTGCGCTGACCTTAAGCAATATAATATTTATAGTGTTTTGACCTTTATTTTTCAAAGCAATCTTAGTTTTAGAGGCATATTAATTTCCAAAAAGTATTAAATGGCTTTATCATTCTTGAATGTCGTATTTACACCTGCGTACCACCATATTTCTACTCCTAATACCATTCTTTGAGTTTAAGCTTTCTTTTGCTTCGTCTTTGGCGATGAGGTCCTTATCAAATATGCTGCTACTCCACAGGCGAGAAAACTGCCTGTGGAGCATTTGAAATTATTTTGGAGTGGGGTGAAATATCGCGTTATGATATGATTCTTTATCTTGACTGTTAAGTTGCTATTGTAGCTTAAATTTAAAATTCGTATTCCTTGTATTTCTATACGAACCAATGATAAACTAAACAATCACTCACCGACATGGGCCACAATGCAACAACAATCACTCATCGACATGGGCCACAATGCAACAACAATCACTCACCGACATGGGTCACAATGCAACAACAATCACTCACTGACATGGGCCACAAATACAATGCAACAACAATCACTCATCGACATGGGCCACAATGCAACAACAATCACTCACCGACATGGGTCACAATGCAACAACAATCACTCACCGACATGTGTCACAATGCAACAACAATCACTCACTGACATGGGCCACAAATACAATGCAACAACAATCACTCATCGACATGGGCCACAATGCAACAACAATCACTCACCGACATGTGTCACAATGCAACAACAATCACTCACCGACATGGGCTACAATGCAACAACAATCACTCACCGACATGTGTCACAATGCAACAACAATCACTCACCGACATGGGCCACAATGCAACAACAAACACTCACCGACATGGGCCACAATGCTCACCGTTTGATGCGACAAGGAAAAGCTCTTATCAAGAAAGGAATTACTCAACGTTTCAATGTGACAACTTAACATCGTATTCATGATCTAAAAATATTTCTATAAAAATTCAAAAACATATAAAACATAAATCTGAGGAAAAATTAGTGTATAATTATTTACCTTTAATTTTAAAACGGAAAGCAACACAACTAGAAGAAAGATTGCAGGGCAACGATTATTTTGAAATTCAAACTAGCATTAACAAGAGAGATGAGTTTGAAACCATCAAAAGAGTTTTAGTTACAAGTACATAATAACAGAGTGTAATATAATTTATACTTTGCAGACAGGGGATCGTCTACACGTCATGTAGTGATATTCAGTGATATTTATAGGTTTTTTTTACTTTCTCAGTACAGGGACCACCTCTCACACACGCACACTTCCGCCTCGCATTTAACACACTAACCCTTAACCCCAATCAAACCATATTTGGCTCCCACTTTTCGCACTTCTCAGTTCTCATTGGTCAATGCCATTCCCTCCATTTTGCTCCACACTAGATACATACCTACACACTTCACATCATTCACCTGTTCACCGTTGTAGCATTCCACACTTATGTAATCATGTGTAGTATATTTAGTCGTTTAGTAGTTTTAGGATTGTACGCCATTTGCTTTAAAAGTTTTTTGTCGTATGAACTAATTTTTGTTATGAATTTTTATTATGACTTTTTGTATCGTATTTTTGGATAAAGCTGATTAAATTCAAAGTAAATGATTATTGTATACAGTGCTATATTGTATACTATTACTGTACAGTAATTTTGCCTCAGATTTATGTTTTAAATACGTTTTCGAATTTTTGATAGAAATATTTTTACACTACTATATAACAAACATTTTTAGATCATGAATACGATGTAGTCACATTAAAACGTTGAGTAATTCCTTGTCGCATCAAACGGAATCAATAGAAATTTACCCAAGAATGCATTGCAAGTTGCAACCATGCGACTCATAAATAATATTCTAATCCGAATTTTACATTACTTACTTGTCTTAATAAGGTAGATCCCTAAATTGGAGAAAGTTTTATATCGTTTTTTTTGCAAATTCAGCAAGCATTTAAATTAAAAGAATTTTCGTAATTCAAGTTTTCAATTTTAATTTTTTTAATTCAATTAATTCAAGTTTTATAAGTGTACTAGAAAGCCCGTGGTCACAGGGAGGACGCTAATAGTATTCTTTGGTAGTCAGTTTTCATAGCATCAACAAATATCCGTCACAACCGAAGATACAGCCAATTAAAATGTAGCTCGTACTAAACACAGCGTGATATCAAAAAAACCGATCAAAATGACGTTAAAACAATCATTGCACGTGCACGTAAAAACCCTCGTTACCATGGTTACTTTGCAACTTCATATTTCTCATCTATTTGCACGTGGGCGGTCGTACAGACATACAAAAATAATTCTTTGAATTATAGTAGAGATACCTTTTAAATTTGGATTCTGGTAGGAAGATGAGGTATATTTTTGAGGCATATTTGTGTGGCAGTGTTTGTGTGGTATGATAATATGTTCATTATATGCAAGCCTCTTGATTTATGATTGGTTAATTACTGTCACGTGTCTACAAAATATGTCTCACCTCTATATTCTTCTGAGGATTAGGTCACTTTGTAGTGTAACTATGGTAACTAGTAGCGTTACTATGGTCACTTTGCACATAAAATAGAACATAGACAGGAAAGAGTTGTTACATTGCATTTTTTATAATTGTAATTTAGAAAATTCCCTCATATTTGATGATTAAAATTAAACTTTCACAGGTTACCAGTTTTCTGTATTTCATTTCCCCGTCCCACAAAATTCTGGCCTGACGCCTCAACATCACACAGTTGTTCCAGAGATTCTGCTTTCTATAAACAAGTTACCCCTCACTATTTGTCGGCACTGGCTAGTGATGTGAAGCATAACCTCGCCTGCGGCTCTTTCTTCGTCTCCAGAGTAGAAAATCTGCTCATCTTTTCTCACGTTTTAGAGTCCGGATTTGGGTACGCTTCTCTGCTAATGAAAGGTGAAGATTTTTAAAAGTTTTATCGGGTCGATTTTTCTATTCATTCGGATAGACGTAAAAATATTGACAATTATTAAACACTTTCATAATATACGTATGCCTTTCATTTATGCGATTCTTCATAGATATATACAGTTTATACTTTTCACCTGAACAAATTTTCAGAACCAGTCTGTTAACATATTGAGACTAGAAACCAGTCTGTTAACATATTGAGACTAGAAACCAGACTGTTAACATATTGAGACTAGAAACCAGTCTGTTAACATATTGAGACTAGAAACCAGTCTGTTAACATATTGAGACTAGAAACCAGTCTGTTAACATATTGAGACTAGAAACCAGTCTGTTAACATATTGAGACTAGAAACCAGTCTGTTAACATATTGAGACTAGAAACCAGTCTGTTAACATATTGAGACTAGAAACCAGACTGTTAACATATTGAGACTAGAAACCAGTCTGTTAACATATTGAGACTAGAAACTAGACTGTTAACATATTGAGACTAGAAACCTTACATTTTGAAGGTCTGGAGCTACAGGAAACAAGTTGTCACACAGAAGAGGTAAATGTTGTGAAAGACATTTTTGACAGAACGTTTGAAGGTACAAAATGTAAGTACATAATTAAGCTGTAACAGCTTCATTGGTATATTGTATTGTAATAATGCTATCAAGTAATAATAATAAGTATCAAGTCAGATTAATCTTTGTGTATAATTTCATCTAATACTGACCTCACAGGTTATAATGACTTCTTTATGCACATGCTCCAACCATTGTCTAAAACAAACGTACTGACTTACTCTGATGCCAAGAATGTGTTAACTGGAGTTCTAGGTAATTAATTAATTAGGAGTTCTAGGTAATTAATAGCGACACCTCATTAACTGGAGTTCTAGGTAATTAATTAATTAGGAGTTCTAAGTAATTAATAGCGACACCTCATTAACTGGAGTTCTAGGTAATTAATAGCGACACCTCATTTGTTTATTTCAAATAGTGACCAAGCGTGCTTAATCACTCTACACTCGAACTTCAAGACTTTTCTAAAAGGGTCTCCGACAGTTGAAACTAACTTAAATACATACATTTTTTGAACGCTGATTCCCTAGGGGTCGTTCACATATTATTACGTAATCACTAATCAGTCAAGGGGGGAGGTGGGTTTATACAATAGCTATGTGCATAGTACCTACCCTAGTAATTATATTGTTTCACGAGTGAAGTTTTACGTACATTTTTAGCTTTGTAATTTTAATTTTAGTTCCTACCTCAGTTGTCACTGATGATATCATGGTTTTGTATCATGATCGAAACATTTGTCTGACTCAACCGGTCGTTTCAATTTGTATCTAGCTCTCGGCTTGTCGATTGAGCACTGTCAGCAGACGACGCCACCCACAATTATATATTATATATATATCATAGTTTAAGCTGTAGCTTGATAACATTTTTTCAGATTCGCCAACTTGTCTAGAACGACTAGCAGGAAACTTTAGAAAATGCTTGACATATTTTCTGTGTACGCAATACCCGAAATGTGGAGAAAGTATACAGTACGAGGGAACAGTTTTAGTGAGCAATCAGGCGACAACAACTTCAACCAGTACTGCTAAAGGAGCTGCACCCAGCACTTCAAGAGGGGGCGGCTTTGATTTCTCTGGGTTACATAATAAAGCTGCAACTGGTAAAAACATATGCAAACATATTTAAACATTATTGTGGCTATCCGTGTAACTAAAAACGAACCAATTAACTGCAACACAGCTCACTACCTACCTCCAAAAATAATTTAATATTTTAAATTGAAAATGTTGTCCAGTTTTATGACCTTGAGAATTGCGAGTAGAGCACTAGAGGGCCTAATTCAATGTGAAGATCTGTGTGAAGTTCCCATACTTCTGGTATAAACGGATATGGAACTAGAGGGCCTAATTCAATGTGAAGATCTGTGTGAAGTTCCCATACTTCTGGTATAAACGGATATGGAACTAGAGGGCCTAATTCAATGTGAAGATCTGTGTGAAGTTCCCATACTTCTGGTATAAACGGATATGGAACTAGAGGGCCTAATTCAATGTGAAGATCTGTGTGAAGTTCCCATACTTCTGGTATAAACGGATATGGAACTAGAGGGCCTAATTCAATGTGAAGATCTGTGTGAAGTTCCCATACTTCTGGTATAAACGGATATGGAACATGGTATTTAAACCAGATGACTTCATGTAACTCTCAATTACGTATACTTTATACTTACTTAATTATTTAGATACACATATTATATAAAATAATAATTAGTTGTTGCTTGGTTTCCCAAAAAGAGTACTTAACAGCAAACAATCAGGAGCATTATATTTCGAACAATTGATACGATCAAGTTGGCGGGCAAACGAACCGTTTCATGGTATAGTAATAGAAAAAAAAATACCAGTCCTCAGTGTTTTTTTCAATAACATGAAATGAATCGTATGCCAACCAATTAACAGGGCACGGATCGAGCGGTTATAAGGCAATATTTCGTCAACTTTGTCACACTTTATCACAACTTGAGGTACTGATGATTATATATATATTATATCTAAATTATTAATGTGCTGAAACGATAGTTTAATACATTTTAATTATTTCAGGAGTTGGTGATGTGCTAGAGGATGCGACCAGTACAGCCACTCTTGTCTCCAACAATCGATCAGAAGATTTTTTGGATAATTTATCTTTTAATTGTTCAGAAGGTTTGTTCTCAGTGGCTAGCTAACAGCAAAATTCTTTAGCAATTAATCAACAAAACACTTAGTTAGAGTTGATTGCTAGTTTGTGAGCTGTGCCTGCAAGTGTCAGAGTTGATTGCTAGTTTGTTGTGTGAGCTGTGCCTGTAAGTGTCAGAGTTGATTGCTAGTTTGTTGTGTGAGCTGTGCCTGTAAGTGTCAGAGTTGATTGCTAGTTAGTTGTGTGAGCTGTGCCTGTAAGTGTCAGAGTTGATTGCTAGTTAGTTGTGTGAGCTGTGCCTGTAAGTGTCAGAGTTGATTGCTAGTTTGTTGTGTGAGCTGTGCCTGTAAGTGTCAGAGTTGATTGCCAGTTTGTTGTGTGAGCTGTGCCTGTAAGTGTCAGAGTTGATTGCTAGTTTGTTGTGTGAGCTGTGCCTGTAAGTGTCAGAGTTGATTGCTAGTTTGTTGTGTGAGCTGTGCCTGTAAGTGTCAGAGTTGATTGCTAGTTTGTTGTGTGAGCTGTGCCTGTAAGTGTCAGAGTTGATTGCTAGTTTGTTGTGTAAGCTGTGCTTGTAATCAGTAGCGGATACCAAGGTTGTAGTGTCAGAGTAAGTAAATTAACGCATCCTATCCTACGCAATGTCCTCATCATCTGATTCGTCAGTAAATCTAACTGCCTCTTCATTAGAATCCGTAGCCATACTCTCGTCGTCCGAGTCGTTCTAATTCTAATTCTAATTCCTCGTTAAGATTGATAACCAATAACCATCAGGTGGGAACTTGAGCTGATATATTTCGTAGTTTATGGCTCTTCAGTTGTATTTGATAATTAAGTTGATTTCTAAGTATTCCGGAATCCGGCCGGAGGCTCATATCAGTCTGTTATCCCCTAAAATGTTTTTCGCCAACTTGAAAGACCTTTCACGTGCGACTGAGAAAGGAGGTGGACACATATTGCTATATTGATCCAGACAAGCTGGTTCAGATGGGATGGTTCAACTATAACACTCTACAGAATGTGATTTTTCCGCCAGAACTCCAGGTGATTACGTCTCTGGGGCTCCAGTTTGACCTTCAAGTATCTGGTAACCTTGTTTCATACCAAGTTGTTCGGAGATCTGGGCCCGTCTGAAGTACTGCGTAGGAGTTGGTCAGTTGGTTCCAAGTCGCTGCATCATCGTCAATCTCTCTGACTGAGTTGTCAGTATCACTGTTTCTTCCCTTCTCAATATCACTGTCCGCACTGATTCTTGTACTCTTTCTTTGTCGGAAGCCCACCTCTCTCTTAGACTTTAAGGTCAGGAACTCTTTGGCGGATTGAGATTGCCTTGTATTGTATGTATAAATACCAGTAGTATGTTTAACGCTAAAATCAAATGTAGAATATTTTAGGAATCCAATACACTGATCAACCAACTTGCTGACATAACATATCGTTTTTTCTTAGCTATGATCCCGGTCCCAATCCCGGCTTAATCTCGGTCCCGGTCGTATTCCCGATATTATTCCTGAACCCGGCCTTTTCCCGGTCACGGCATTTTTTTCCAGTCCTGGGACCGGCCAAAAAAGCGGTCCCGGTCGATCCTTGGCCACAACCAAGAGATGAAACTTGACACAGTTATTTTTTGGGATGTCACGCAAAAACGTAATGTTTTAGAATTTAACGTGAGGTTGACGTGATCTTTGGAGTTAGTGTGCATGAACTCCATGCAACCAAAGAATCTTCCATTGATGCCTAGCTTCCAGAGTTTATAGAAGAGTGCCTCCCGGCAAACTGTATGACTGTATCGAATGCCTTGGCATAGTCTACAAAACAGTAAGGCGCACTGCATTTTCTTTCCAGAGAGTTTAAAGAAATTTGTTCGGGATTAGGTCTTATGACACTGCCTCCCCTTTCTTGAGCGATCGAGTGCAATCTAGCAGTTCTTCCAAGCTGATGTCTTGGTCCAGGATTTCTGTGAGTGTTTGCAATTAAATTGCTGGGTGGCCTAAAAAGCCTTATTAAAAGTGTAAAAAAGTGACATTTTTTTCTCACCTAAGGTATGTTTTACCTTTGGAAATGTACTATGTGAAGACTGAAGACTGATCGGAAAATAATAGGAAAGAAGAAGATTTTTAGAAGATAATTTTGTTAAGTGTTATTAAAAGTGTAAACTAGTGTAAAATAGTGTAAAATAGTGTAAAATAGTGTAAAATAGTGTAAAATAGTGTAAAATAGTGTAAAAAATGGTACCTTATTTATTACACTTTTTACTACACCATACACAAAAAAAGGCAAAAGTGTAGTGTAAAATAGTGTAAAAAAGTGTAGTGTACTAATAAGATAAACCGTGCATCACGTGAGTTTCCCGGTCAGGTGCACCTATATGTGCCTCTGTTCATTCAAATATAAATAACGAAAATCTCGTGGGACTCCATATCTAAGTGGCTTTGTTTCTAAGTCAGTTCTATCTACTGTTACGAGTTCGGTAACATGATGCTGTGATCCACCATATCGGAAAATTTACTAAAATCTATAAGCAACAAGATATTTGTCTATTGTTCAGCGAGTCTAGTAAATGAGTGGTGAAGAAAGTCGGTGGCCAAGCTCTAAACCATGGGAAACTGATCGTTTTTAAAGTTTAGAAGCAATGTTAACACTTAAAAAGTTATTAATGGTTATTAATATACCTTCGATAATCCGTTGAGAAATTGGTGGGCACTCAATGTTTTGAATTTTACATGGGCCCTTAAATGATATGGTTGACAAGCAATGTATATAGATACAAATTCGGGGGTGAAAAGGAACTGGTATCAATCAAGGTTTTACTGTACTTCCCTCATAAGATAGATGCACGTTTGTTTTAAAATCAATGATATTTTGTACTATCAAGCACCTAAAAATGTAATGTTGCACTCCTAGTTGCATTTCTAACTCTATACCAGATAACCCTTCAGAGAGTTGGTTCGAGCAGGTGTTGGTCAATAAAACCACACACTCCCCGGTAAAATCAGAAGATAACGAAATCAAACCTAAGTCTATTCGTGGCGATGAAACCACACACTCCTCGGTAAAATCAGAAGATAACGAAATCAAACCTAAGTCTATTCGTGCAGAGAACTGTAATGAGCTAGACAGTGACTCGAATAACTTTATTGACGAAGAAGAGAGAATAGTTTTAGAGGTGAAGAATGGGGGAGGAGAGGGAGGAGAAGAGTGTGGTGTTCCTGGAAATTGGTTAAAAGTACCCTTCTGTAGAGAGGAGGTAGAGAAGGAGTGTGAAAATTTCCCCCTCGATCTCTTCCGCAGCAAGTCTTCTGTTCATGGTAAGGGCACAAAAGAAATATTATTATTTATCAATCTTCGTTAAAAAATACGATCATAACTATATCAATCCAAGCACTAACATGCTTGTCAATGGCCCACAGGTTGATGATCCGGAATTATATCATTAACTTAGGAACTATCATCAAATTGGAACGACAGTTTTCAAATCGTGGAAATGTTTCGCATTACATCGTGAAACCTGTGTCGAGTCAATGTGAGAGACTCAGGCCAGCGATTTGAGCCAATATTATACATTTATCACATTCCTTCTCATGCGATATCAAAACTTTCGCCCACTAGGCTTGCCGAGTTATAGCGAAAGTTTATATCAAAATTTTCAAACCCGAGTTTTGAAAATGTTGATATTGCATGAGATTTGAGAATGCATGTGAATAATCATTAATATTTTATCACACGTTCTTTGGAGCCAAATCTGGCCCGAAAAGCAGAATTTGATCAGACGATGGAGTAAACTATACGTGTCACAGTTAATTTTGTAGAGTATTTAATTTCTATAGTTTCATCAGTACAGCATGAATAATTAAAACGAGTTAAAACGTGTTAACTTAGGTTTTCCCGTGCTCAATATTCTGTCGTAGTGAATGCTGGCGTAGTGTGATATATTGTCATGTATTACTCCGTGTTACTTAATTAAAAAGTAAACTTTATTTCTAATATCTCGGTCTGTTTCAGCCGGTCTGGAGACAGTATCCGGACTTGTGAGCAGTGCTTATCTTGCTTTACAGAACAGTAGCTCAGGTATGTGCCGGTATTTTGTTAGTATACATTTTTCGGAAATGGTGTTTTGATTGTGATTTTTCTGACGTTTTTTCGCCAAGTTTTTTATTGTTACATATTAATGCTTTTCATACAAAGTTGCAACAAATTCTTCATGTTATACATCCTGGGTATGACCCGTTTAATTTTTATTTTCCATCACGTTTCATAATTCTCAATAAATGTATCTATACATATTTTATAGATGTATAGATACATATAGATCTATAGATGTAATAGATTTGTAGTGTCAGGCACGTAGCCAGGGGGGCTGCAGCCCCCTAGTCCCCTGGTCGCCTGGTAACTGGGCTGTGTTTATGTCTGCAGTCTGTACTGTTTAAACGGCAGGCAATTGACGCGAGTACTTGATTTTTTTCAGTCCCAGTTTATTGCTATCCAACAAATTTCTTTAATGCCAAATATCGTCTAAAACACCCTATTTCTCAAAATTTTCCATCTCGTTGAGCTTCAACCAATTGTGAAATTTGAAGAAAATCTGCGCTATTTACAGTAAATTGAGCATGGTTTTCTGGCGAATCTTGTTATGTGGTAAAATATTAAAAAGGCTAACAAGAGCGCGAACGACAAAACATTTAAAAAAGTAAAAACTAAATTAGCTAGCACTGAGTGTAACGCGCGCGGTCTTCGCGCCGTGCGGCAAGTTGTTATGATATTTGTAGCTCTGGAAACAAACATTGAACAATTATCGGGAAAAAATGTCTACTATACAATTGCCGACAGCAAAAAATATCATATAATAGGGAATAAATGATCAGGTTTAGATACATGAAGTGGCCCGACGGCGCTATATTGATGACAAAAGTCTGCTCGTTATTATTATTAAATCATTCTATCAAACAAGGCCAGGGATAGTTAAAAACAACGCCCAAGTCTAATCTTTGGCGTCTAAACTACGGAGATAATACAGATCAATACATCAAGAAATATAAAGATTTCTTTTACATAAATCATGCACAATCAGCGAGAATAGATTGATTTGGGGTCTTCCTCTTCTCACTGGTAAGTTCAGTGTATTGATGGCAAAAATGAGGGAAGAAAACACTGGTCCGTCAATAGGACCCCGCAAAACATGTTTTAACATTCTCTGCACCGACTACGGGCCATTTTTTCTGACAATGGTTCATCATTGCAGCGTTTATTCAAGTTTTTGTTGGATATGACTCCTGGGTACTTTATATTATAATCAAAATAGTGCGAAGTCTGCGGTGAACTGCATCATGCATGGATGATGATTAATCACTCTACACTCGACTGTCACGTGACTTTTTCAACTCGTTCTCTAGCTGGCCCTGAACGACTATTCGAAACTCTAACCCTCTAATCTGATCCCAACCCTAACCCTAACCCTATCCTTAACAAAAGCATATGCTGAAACCCTAACCCTGACGAGAAATTGGACTAACTTCCTTATACGGTCATGTCACGTGATCGAGACAGTTTTCGCCAATATCCCGTCAATACATACTCTTTTCATTTATCCTCGGTCAAATCAGCCGAATGATTAGGAAACCGTGATTGAGTGTTGAATGAGTGTCATCAGATCAGGCCCTAGTTTCCACCTTTTTAAGAAACTACCGCCTTGTGTCCTATTCCCATGGAATGCACTTCCTTGACCATCGCTGGCCAAATTCATGATTGAACTTTTGGCTACTACTGGTTTATAGATTAAAACGTATCTTAATTAAAATGTTTTGCAAATCAAAATCAATCTGACCGTGTATAATGAAAACGTTTAGAAATGAATTTGAGACTCAGTTTTCAAATAAAACAATTATTGCGTAGATTACTGGTGACGCCTAAACGCCACTGAATTATTATATTTATGGTTAACCATTCTAAACTGCGGGACCAACTTTTAGCCAACATTAGTCAATGTTGGCGACAGTTATGTTAAGGCCGCTTCAAAATTGCAATTCTGATTTTGTTTGTGTAATTTGGAAATACGGTTAAATTTTAATATTATTACTCCAGGTGTGAACAAATCTGCCAATCAAGTAGTAAAAACCTACAGTGGCAACGTTTACTTCGGCAAATGTAAACAGTGGATCGAAGAGAACAGCGAACTTAAAAGACTACTTATAACTTCATACAGGTTGTTAATCTTTTTGTCACCCCTCTCCTTATCCTCCCCCACCTCTTTTATTCTTCCTCCTCCCTACTCTCTTCCTTATCCTCCCCCACCTCTTTTATTCTTCCTCCTCCCTACTCTCTTCCTTATCCTCCCCCACCTCTTTTATTCTTCCTCCTCCCTACTCTCTTCCTTATCCTCCCCCACCTTTTTTATTCTTCCTCCTCCCTACTCTCTTCCTTATCCTCCCCCACCTCTTTTATTCTTCCTCCTCCCTACTCTCTTCCTTATCCTCCCCCACCTTTTTTATTCTTCCTCTTACCTACTCTCTTCATTATCCTCCCCCACCTCTTTTATTCTTCCTCCTCCCTACTCTCTTCCTTATCCTCCCCCACCTCTTCTTTTCTTCCTCCTCCCTACTCTCTTCCTTGTCCTCCACCACCTCTTTTATTCTTCCTCCTCCCTACCCTCTTCCTTATCCTCCCCCACCTCTTTTATTCTTCCTCCTCCCTACTCTCTTCCTTATCCTCCCCCACCTGTTTTATTCTACCTCCTCCCTACTCTCTTCCTTATCCTCCTTCACCTCTTTTATTCTTCCTCCTCCCTACTCTCTTCCTTATCCTCCCAAACCTCGTTTATTCTTCCTCCTCCCTACTCTCTTCCTTATCCTCCCCCACCTTTTTTATTCTTCCTCTTACCTACTCTCTTCCTTATCCTCCCCCACCTCTTTTATTCTTCCTCCTCCCTACTCTCTTCCTTATCCTCCCCCACCTCTTTTATTCTTCCTCCTCCCTACTCTCTTCCTTGTCTTCCACCACCTCTTTTATTCTTTGTCCTCCCTACTCTCTTCCTTATCCTCCCCCACCTCTTTTATTCTTCCTCCTCCCTACTCTCTTCCTTATCCTCCCCCATCTCTTTTATTCTTCCTCCTCCCTACTCTCTTCCTTGTCCTCCACCACCTCTTTTATTCTTCCTCCTCCCTACTCTCTTCCTTATCCTCCCCCACCTCTTTTATTCTTCCTCCTCCCTACTCTCTTCCTTATCCTCCCCCACCTCTTTTATTCTTCCTCCTCCCTACTCTCTTCCTTGTCCTCCACCACCTCTTTTATTCTTCCTCCTCCCTACTCTCTTCCTTATCCTCCCCCACCTCTTTTATTCTTCCTCCTCCCTACTCTCTTCCTTATCCTCCCCCACCTCTTTTATTCTTCCTCCTCCCAACTCTCTTCCTTGTCCTCCACCACCTCTTTTATTCGTCCTCCTCCCTACTCTCTTCCTTATCCTCCCCCACCTTTTTTATTCTTCCTCCTCCCTACTCTCTTCCTTATCCTCTCCCACCTCTTTTATTCTTCCTCCTCCCTACTCTCTTATTTATCCTCCCTCACCTCTTTTATTCTTTCTCCTCCCTACACTCTTCCTTGTCCTCCACCACCTCTTTTATTCTTCCTCCTCCCTACTCTCTTCCTTATCCTCCCCCACCTCTTTTATTCTTCCTCCTCCCTACTCTCTTCCTTGTCCTCCACCACCTCTTTTATTCTTCCTCCTCCCTACTCTCTTCCTTATCCTCCCCCACCTCTTTTATTCTTCCTCCTCCCTACTCTCTTCCTTATCCTCCCCCACCTCTTTTATTCTTCCTCCTCCCTACTCTCTTCCTTGTCCTTTATTATTATTATTATCTAACTTTTAAAACAATCTCGAAATAGTAAAGAAACATCTTAAGAGACTGATAAGTGCCCAAAAAAACATAACAGTTCTCTGAAAAAGAAAGGTTAATTATGAGGTAAATAATTTTCTCCACAAAACTCTGTTAGAGGCAGTAGCCCTAAGATCATAAAGATCATTAATATCACGTAATGGTAGGTTTCTTTTATTCAAATCATGTATAATAAACTTTAAAAGATTACTTTGGTGTCGACCAACACGTCCTTTCATGGTAAATAACGCATTAACAGCAAATTGAAGAGCTCTCTGAGCTGGTGATGAGCAGTCACTGCGAAGGACATGTCCAAGCATTTTCCAGCGAGCATATGTCACTCGCTCTGACAACGGTGTTACACCACAGCGTTCATAGAGTGCTTTATTACTGATAATAATGGGATAAGTCATCTTCAATATTTGACGCAGGTGTCTTCTATGACATGCATCAAGTTTGTCAAATAGGTTCTGAGGGGTAGCCCAGCTATTGCAGTTATAGAGCATAACAGATGTAACGTATGCTTCGTATATCTTAATCTTGGTCTTCAGATTAATCTTAGATCCTTGCATCCAAACTTTCTTGTATTTTTCGAATGCAACATTTCCAAGGATTATACGATGCTGTATGTCTTCTTTACTACATAGCTTAGAGCCTAGGGACACACACTTCCTCCAAGGTTCTCTATTTCTTAGAGGTTCTCCTTTACCACCTCTTTTATTCTTCCTCCTCACTACTCTCTTCCTTGTCCTCCCCCACCTCTTTTATTCTTCCTCCTCCCTAATCGCTTCCTTATCCTCCCCCACCTCTTTTATTCTTCCTACTCTCTTCCTTATCCTCCCCCACCTCTTTTATTCTTCCTCCTCCCTACTCTCTTACTTATCATCCCCCACCTCTTTTATTCTTCCTCCTCCCTACTCTCTTCCTTATCCTCCCCCACCTCTTTTATTCTTCCTCCTCCCTACTCGCTTCCTTATCCTCCCCCACCTCTTTTATTCTTCATCCTCCCTACTCTCTTCCTTATCCTCCCCCAGCTCTTTTATTCTTCCTCCTCCCTACTCTCTTCCTTGTCCTCCACCACCTCTTTTATTCTTTCTCCTCCCTACTCTATTCCTTATCCTCCCCCACCTCTTTTATTCTTCCTCCTCCCTACTCTCTTCCTTATCCTCCCCCACCTCTTTTATTCTTCCTCTTACCTACTCTCTTCCTTATCCTCCCCCACTTCTTTTATTCTTCCTCCTCCCTACTCTCTTCCTTATCCTCCCCCACCTCTTTTATTCTTCCTCCTTCCTACTCTCTTCCTTGTCCTCCCCCACCTCTTTTATTCTTCCTCCTCCCTACTCTCTTCCTTGTCCTCCACCACCTCTTTTATTCTTCCTCCTCCCTACTCTCTTCCCTATCCTCCCCCACCTCTTTTATTCTTCCTCCTCCCTACTCTCTTCCTTATCCTCCCCCACCTCTTTTATTCTTCCTCCTCCCTACTCTCTTCCTTGTCCTCCACCACCTCTTTTATTCTTCCTCCTCCCTACTCTCTTCCTTGTCCTCCACCACCTCTTTTATTCTTCCTCCTCCCTACTCTCTTCCTTATCCTCCCCCACCTCTTTTATTCTTCTTCCTCCCTACTCTCTTCCTTATCGTCCCCCACCTCTTTTATTCTTCCTCCTCCCTACTCTCTTCCTTATCCTCCCCCACCTCTTTTATTCTTCCTCCTCCCTACTCTCTTCCTTATTCTCCCCCACCTCTTTTATTCTTCCTCCTCCCTACTCTCTTCCTTATCCTCCCCCACTTCTTTTATTCTTCCTCCTCCCTACTCTCTTCCTTGTCCTCCACCACCTCTTTTATTCTTCCTCCTCCCTACTCTCTTCCTTGTCCTCCACCACCTCTTTTATTCTTCCTCCTCCCTACTCTCTTCCTTATCCTCCCCCACCTCTTTTATTCTTCTTCCTCCCTACTCTCTTCCTTATCGTCCCCCACCTCTTTTATTCTTCCTCCTCCCTACTCTCTTCCTTATCCTCCCCCACCTCTTTTATTCTTCCTCCTCCCTACTCTCTTCCTTATTCTCCCCCACCTCTTTTATTCTTCCTCCTCCCTACTCTCTTCCTTATCCTCCCCCACTTCTTTTATTCTTCCTCCTCCCTACTCTTTTCCTTATCCTCCCCCACGTCTTTTATTCTTCCTCCTCCCTACTCTCTTCCTTATCCTCCTTCACCTCTTTTATTCTTCCTCCTCCCTACTCTCTTCCTTATCCTCCCCCACCTGTTTTATTCTTCCTCCTCCCTACTCTCTTCCTTATCCTCCCCCACCTTTTTTATTCTTCCTCCTCCCTACTCTCTTCCTTGTCCTTTACCACCTCTTTTATTCTTCCTCCTCCCTACTCTCTACCTTGTCCTCCCCCACCTCTTTTATTCTTCCTCCTCCCTAATCGCTTCCTTATCCTCCCCCACCTCTTTTATTCTTCCTCCTCCCTACTCTCTTCCTTATCCTCCCCCACCTCTTTTATTCTTCCTCCTCCCTACTCTCTTACTTATCCTCCCCCACCTCTTTTATTCTTCCTCCTCCCTACTTTCTTCCTTATCCTCCCCCACCTCTTTTATTCTTCCTCCTCCCTACTCTCTTCCTTATCCTCCCCCACCTCTTTTATTATTCCTCCTCCCTACTCTCTTCCTTATCCTCCCCCACCTCTTTTATTCTTCCTCCTCCCTACTCTCTTCCTTGTCCTCCCCCACCTCTTTTATTCTTCCTCCTCCCTACTCTCTTCATTATCCTCCCCCACCTCTTTTATTCTTCCTCCTCCCTACTCTCTTCCTTATCCTCCCCCACCTCTTTTATTCTTCCTCCTCCCTACTCTCTTCCTTATCCTCCCCCACCTCTTTTATTCTTCCTCCTCCGTACTCTCTTCCTTATTCTCCCCCACCTCTTTTATTCTTCCTCCTCCCTACTCTCTTCCTTATCCTCCCCCACCTCTTTTATTCTTCCTCCTCCCTACTCTCTTCCTTATCCTCCCCCACCTCTTTTATTCTTCCTCCTCCCTACTCTCTTCCTTGTCCTCCCCCACCTCTTTTATTCTTCCTCCTCCCTACTCTCTTCCTTATCCTCCCCCACCTTTTTTATTTTTCCTCCTCCCTACTCTCTTCCTTGTCCTTTACCACCTCTTTTATTCTTCCTCCTCACTACTCTCTTCCTTGTCCTCCCCCACCTCTTTTATTCTTCCTCCTCCCTAATCGCTTCCTTATCCTCTCCCACCTCTTTTATTCTTCCTACTCTCTTCCTTATCCTCCCCCACGTCTTTTATTCTTCCTCCTCCCTACTCTCTTACTTATCCTCCCCCACCTCTTTTATTCTTCCTCCTCCCTACTCTCTTCCTTATCCTCCCCTACCTCTTTTATTCTTCATCCTCCCTACTCTCTTCCTTATCCTCCCCCACCTCTTTTATTCTTCATCCTCCCTACTCTCTTCCTTATCCTCCCCCACCTCTTTTATTCTTCCTCCTCCCTACTCTCTTCCTTATCCTCCCCCGCCTTTTTTATTCTTCCTCCTCCCTACTCTCTTCCTTATCCTCCCCCACCTCTTTTATTCTTCATCCTCACTACTCTCTTCCTTGTCCTCCCCCACCTCTTTTATTCTTCCTCCTCCCTAATCGCTTCCTTATCCTCCCCCACCTCTTTTATTCTTCCTACTCTCTTCCTTATCCTCCCCCACCTCTTTTATTCTTCCTCCTCCCTACTCTCTTACTTATCATCCCCCACCTCTTTTATTCTTCCTCCTCCCTACTCTCTTCCTTATCCTCCCCCACCTCTTTTATTCTTCCTCCTCCCTACTCGCTTCCTTATCCTCCCCCAGCTCTTTTATTCTTCATCCTCCCTACTCTCTTCCTTATCCTCCCCCAGCTCTTTTATTCTTCCTCCTCCCTACTCTCTTCCTTGTCCTCCACCACCTCTTTTATTCTTTCTCCTCCCTACTCTATTCCTTATCCTCCCCCACCTCTTTTATTCTTCCTCCTCCCTACTCTCTTCCTTATCCTCCCCCACCTCTTTTATTCTTCCTCTTACCTACTCTCTTCCTTATCCTCCCCCACCTCTTTTATTCTTCCTCCTCCCTACTCTCTTCCTTATCCTCCCCCACCTCTTTTATTCTTCCTCCTCCCTACTCTCTTCCTTGTCCTCCCCCACCTCTTTTATTCTTCCTCCTCCCTACTCTCTTCCTTGTCCTCCACCACCTCTTTTATTCTTCCTCCTCCCTACTCTCTTCCCTATCCTCCCCCACCTCTTTTATTCTTCCTCCTCCCTACTCTCTTCCTTATCCTCCCCCACCTCTTTTATTCTTCCTCCTCCCTACTCTCTTCCTTGTCCTCCACCACCTCTTTTATTCTTCCTCCTCACAACCCTCTTCCTTATCCTCCTTCACCTCTTTTATTCTTTGTCCTCCCTAACTAAGGCCTAAGTCTCTTAGTCTTAGGCCTTAAGTATTTTCATAGCACTAATATAAAAATTCATTTTGGTTCATGGCTTGAGGTCTTTGTTCATGGCTGAATCCGAAATAATTTACACTGGGGGTCGCGATATGGGTGTGGTCAAAAAGGGCGTGATTCCGAGAAATTGTGTTACTTAGGACCATATAAGTCGGATTACATTGAGAAACTTAGCAGACGTCCCAAATCCCAATGTGAGCGGGACTTTTGCCAGGTTCAGGATTACAGCGGTCGCTTAACCCTTATAATTTTATTGACGAGGCATCCGCTGAAATTTCCAAAACCGTCCTGACCCCACCTCCCCCCTCCCCCCCCCCCCCCCCCCCCCCCCCCCCCCCAAGTTTGATTTCGTTTATCTTTTCAGATTCGCTGTGAAACTCTCTATTGATGAAACCGTATTTGGCGATAACGAGACTTTAGAGGAATATTTTGACAGTATGTTGGCACTGGAGAGAGACTGGTATATCGGGCTGGAAACTGATCCAGCATGGCAGAAAAGTTTAGAAGAAAGCAAACAATTTGTCTTTACCTTGGGGTTCAACAAGGAAGGGGTATATGCCAGTCGGACTCTCAGTCTTACTAAACTGCCAATGTTGACGGGGCAGCTGAATTCGGAAAATGTAAGATCTATCTGGAGTGCTCTCTCGTTAGAACTGCTGTACTTGACCAATGATGACGAGGAAAGGTACAGTATTCAGGCCCACCCCAATATCCTAAGAAACATTGTCACTCAATCTGCTGACCTACCACTCGGATACCCTGTTTACTCTTCCGGACTGCAGCACGTATCAACTCTGTAAATACCAGGTAACCTGGTTACCTGGTTACCTGGTTACCTGGTTACCTGGTTACCTGGTTACCTGGTTACCTGGTTACCTGGTTACCTGGTTACCTGGTTACCTGGTTACCTGGTTACCTGGTTACCTGGTTTCCTGGTTACCTGGTTACCTGGTTACCTGGTTACCTGGTTACCTGGTTACCTGGTTACCTGGTTACCTGGTTACCTGGTTTCCTGGTTACCTGGTTACCTGGTTACCTGGTTACCTGGTTACCTGGTTTCCTGGTTACCTGGTTACCTGGTTTCCTGGTTACCTGGTTACCTGGTTACCACTCGGATACCCTGTTTACTCTTCCGGACTGCAGCACGTATCAACTCTGTAAATACCAGGTAACCTGGTTACCTGGTTACCTGGTTACCTGGTTACCTGGTTACCAGGTTACCTGGTTACCTGGTTACCTGGTTACCTGGTTACCTGGTTACCTGGTTACCTGGTTACCTGGTTACCTGGTTACCTGGTTACCACTCGGATACCCTGTCTACTCCTCCGGACTGCAGCACGTATCAACTCTGTAAATACCTGGTTACCTGGTTACCTGGTTACCTGGTTACATGGTTACCTGGTTACCTGGTTACCTGGTTACCTGGTTACCTGGTTACCTGGTTACCTGGTTTCCTGGTTACCTGGTTACCTGGTTACCTGGTTACCACTCGGATACCCTGTCTACGCAGCACGTATCAACTCTCTAAATATTGCACAACTGCGGAAGGACACAACAACACAAATGTTTTACTTTTAGACTAAAAGTATGTACTGGGGTCTGGGGTGAGGGGTACTGTAGGCTGTAGGCTGACTCAAACCCCACGAAATGTTTTGTAAGATACACATTTGAAAACGTTGAAATGAACCAATTCTTAATTGAAGTTTTTCATTTTAACAATTTTATCTAGTAATGGACCCAACGTTGTACAAGGTAAATATAATACCTCAGGATAACACGCCTTATAGCTGTAACGTGGATTTTTGGGCAACTTGTTTCCTCCCTCATTTACCGTATCTGCAAAATAAAAATAAAATGTTTAAACCTTAAAATTGTTCTGTGTCTGATTAATCGTGAATTTCTTCATGGTAAATCTTTCAGGTCGGCAGGTTATATTCATTATTTATAAACTTACGATATTTTACTTAATAATAAATACATGACAATATATTTATTCAGTATTTGTATATAATATTGTATTTAATAATATGTACCAATAGTTTTTCAGATTAATTTTATTTGGTTATCACAACTTATTTACTTATTGGTCACTGCACTGGCTAACTATTCCATCAATTTCTGTTCAGCAAATTGAAATATCATCTTCGAAAATGGGACAGTAGTTAAAAAATATGAAATTTAAAAAAATTTCTCTTTCATCCTTCCTCTGACTAGAATCAAACTTCCAGCACCTCAATTGTTTCATATGTCATCTATAGGCATAGCTCACGGACTAATTGGTTGCTGGAAACAAATTCAGTCGAAACAGTGAAATTTCGGTCCGATAAATTTCATCTTCAAAAACTGAAAATGGGACCGAGAAATGAACAACATTTTTTATTTATATGTAAATTTAAAAAATGTATTGATACATTTGACCAAAGAGATGTTGGCAAGAGATTATTATTAATCTCAGGGAATAGTGATCGTGTAACCATGATAACCTCTCCTATTTCAATGACCATAGTGCGTGATGAAGAATCACATCCTTTTCGAGGTGCTACTATTAAGCATTGTAATCTGTCCTGGGTGACTCCAGTTTAAACAGATGACGTGCAACAAAACACTATGGATCTAGACAGGCAAAGGTCGATAAAAAACCGGGTGCGAGATGCTGGCAACTTCTCCTCTCTAAACATTTGCTGCAGAAATATCACAAAGTAACAACAAGAAACGGTGTGTGGCTCCCTCTGCAAGGACGGATGATACCAGTATGAAGGTGGCGGGGCAAAGCCTAAGGGACCCCCGTGGCCAGATGAGTGTTGGGAGAACACGTCATTGTAGCAGATTTATTTCTCCACAGATCACCCATGTGGACTCTGACTCTAATAAGAAACAGCCAGCGAATTATTCTAAAACAGGTCTTACATTTGGGACATGGAATGTATTATCTCTGACAAGTAGTTCAAGTCAGTTGTTCCAGCTATCAGAGAATATCTCTGAGTATACCTTAGTTCCCAAAAATTTGTGTGCCATTATATTGAGCACAATTTATTTGAGCCCGAAAAATTTGGGCAGAAAATTTGAACTCATTTGGGCGACCGAAAATTTGGGCACAAATTCTTCGAAAAATGAACGATTTTCCACTAAAATTTCAGTTAGATATTTGCCTTAGTTCATTATTATTCCTTATTATTCCAGTCATTTTGCTTTCAATTTTAAGCATGTAGGTGGTAGTCTGAGTTGTTTCACATTATGAAATTTACGATCTGCCCAGTGCCCAGTAACTACTAAAAAATACAGTGATGATGGCACAGTACAAAATGATAGATATACAATAGTGATATTTAGTCTCTCAATCAGATAGTTTAGTCTACTTACACTCAGCATATCTTATCATACCCCTTTCACATACAATTATTATTATGACGCCTCACCAAATGGTCGAAAGGTTTGGAAGAAAATTAGAAGGTTTACATCATGATCTATCAAACTAAGCGGCACATACGCTTAGCTTTGGGGGAAACAAAGGTGTACATAATTGTGTGTAGCGAACTACTGTAAACCCGGACCAAAGGTCTTGAAGTCTAATTCCAGTTATTTCTATTCATTTAAAATATAAGCCTTTTTACTTGGTCAAGCCATGAATGACAGATTAGAAAACTAAAATTTCAAATATTATTTCACTTGGATTATATGAAGAAAAAGCCATCTTTCTATAGATTTCAGGGCCACAGGCCAAATGCCAAAAGTTTGGTTAGCAAAAAATTTAGCAGACGGAAAAGATTTATGCAATTAATTTGGTCTGCAAAAAATTTGGGCGAGAGGCCCGCTCAAATTTTTTGTCGCCCAAATTTTTGGGAATTAAGGTACCTTAATTCCCAAAAATTTGGGCGACAAAAAATTTGAGCGGGCCTCTCGCCCAAATTTTTTGCAGACCAAATTAATTGCATAAATCTTTTCCGTCTGCTAAATTTTTTGCTAACCAAACTTTTGGCATTTGGCCTGTGGCCCTGAAATCTATAGAAAGATGGCTTTTTCTTCATATCCAAGTGAAATAATATTTTAAATTTTAGTTTTCTAATCTGTCATTCATGGCTTGACCAAGTAAAAAGGCTTACATTTTAAATGAATAGAAATAACTGGAATAGCTAACAGCTACTAATAAAACAAATGGCTAGAGGTACGGATAGCTAGAGATTTAAACAAGATCTGCAAATAGATTATCATCCACCGTAAAGTCTGATCTGCAAGCATCAGTTATACCCGAATTCTCAAAGCCTTTCCTTATGTCATCTGGCCTCCCTTTTAAATATACAAAAAGTTCGTTGATCCAACGAGCGTGTACTTCACGGATCACTGTCAAGCGGGTATCGATTTTCACATTGTCTGATGAAACTCCTCCATTGAGCTGACACACTATGTTTTTCGCGTACCAATCTTCGTACTTATTGCGCATGAATTTCTTAGCTAGTCCATTGATAGATATGTCCAGGGGCTGTAGTCGTAGATGATGGGTCATATTAGCTGGAACTTTCTGTAGGATGCAGTTGTTGGCTGTCATCAGATCTTTTAGTGTCTGTGTGTGTTGGGCCCGAAACACATCTGATATCATTAGTGCTTTCTGCTCAGGGTTGTTGATGGAGGCTCGAACTGATTCTATGTGGGGAAGAAGGATTTTCTCAAAGAACTGGACACTGGTCAAACCTTTCGACCATCTGGTGAGGCGTCATAATGATAATTGTATGTGAAAGGGGTATGATAAGATATGCTGAGTGTAAGTAGACTAAACTATCTGATTGAGAGACTAAATATCACTATTGTATATCTATCATTTTTCACTGTGCCATCATCACTGTATTTTTTAGTAGTTACTGGGCAGATCGTAAATTTCATAATGTGAAACAACTCAGACTACCACCTACATGCTTAAAATTGAAAGCAAAATGACTGGAATAATAAGGAATAATAACGAACTAAGGCAAATATCTAACTGAAATTTTAGTGGAAAATCATTCATTTTTCGAAGAATTTGTGCCCAAATTTTCGGTCGCCCAAATGAGTTCAAATTTTCTGCCCAAATTTTTCGGGCTCAAATAAATTGTGCTCAATATAATGGCACACAAATTTTTGGGAACTAAGGTAAGTTGGACTTGCTGGGTATAACTGAGACCCATATGCCTGGTACAGGATCAGAGCTACTGGATAATGGCTCCTTACTTATTTATTCAGGGAGGACGGACGGTATAAGAAGGCGAGGTGTCGGTCTTACCCTTTCAAAGAGGACTAAAAATTCATTAATTTCCTATCTACCAATATCTGACCGTTTGTTGAGTGCAAGGCTGCATAGTCAACACCTGAACATCTCTGTTGTTGTGGCATATGCGCCAACTGAGGGGGCTTCAGATAATGATAAGGATGAATTCTACCAGCAGTTGTCAAGTGCATTCGATGAGCTACCCCGACATGATTTAAAATTACTGCTCGGTGATCTTAATGCTAAGGTCACATCGGACTGCAGTTCTATGTCAGGTGTCATTGGTGGACACTCGCTTCACAGCTCATCAAATGACAATGGTACCCGATTGTTGGACTTTTGCATTGCCCACCAACTTACCATCGGTGGCACTATGTTTCAGCAAAAGGATATACATAAAGGTACGTGGAGATCGTCTAATGGTCGTACTGTAAACCAAATAGACCACATCTGTATCAGTAAGAAGTTTGGAGGCTCTTTGCTAAATGTAAAAGTTTGTAGGGGGGCTGACATTGGGTCTGATCACTATTTGGTAAGAGCACGACTGAGAATGAAGCTTATGTCAGTGAAAAAGAAGCAGGAACGTAAGCTTGAGATTCCTGCTATTGAGCATCTGCGTGATCATTCACTTGTTTCCGAATACAATATTGTTCTGAGAAACAAATTTGACTGTTTGGAACCTGAGGTTGACCTGGAATCAATGTGGGACAACTTCAAGACAACTGTCCAACAAGTTTCCATGGAAATCCTTGGGCAAAGACCTCGAAAAAAGAAGGACAGGCACCAATCTCAGAAGACAAAAGAATTATTGAAGAACCGTAAGGAATTTAAGCGTAAAGACCCTAATTCGAACGCTAACAGGTCAGAGTATTCTAGATTGAATAAGCTCTTTTAAAAAAGTAGCAAGGTGGACGATAACAACTGGGCACGTAGAATGGCCAATGACTTGGAAGAAGCTGCGAGAAAAGGTCAGCAACGTGAGGTATGGCAGAAGATCAATGTCATATCTGGAAAGAAGAAGAAGCAGTCAACTGCAGTTAGAGACGTATCTGGCCAGTTGATTGCCGACCCACATGCCCAGAAAGAAAGGTGGAAAGAGCATTTCTCTAGGCTATTGAACCCTCCCCCGCAAGAGGCCAATATTTCTGACCTAGACAACATCCCTCCGCAACCCAGTTTTGACGACCTTTCCGATTCGGATGAAGCTCCTACAAGAAACGAGATTGTTGATGCCCTAAAAAAACTCAAGAATCACAAAAGTCCAGGAGTGGATGGTATCACCAACGAGCAACTTAAGTATGGACAGGATGGGTTGGTCGATCAACTAGTTGTGTTGTTCAAGAAAGTGTGGGAAGATGAGAAGATTCCTGAGGATTGGTCCAAAGGTGTTATCATCATCGTTGGAAAGAAAGGTGACACCTCTCATTGCGCTAACAACAGAGGCATTACATTAAGATCCACAGCCTCGAAGCTCCTGCAAATGATACTCCTGCGGAGACTTAGCAATGGCATGGAAAAATTCCTCCGGGAGAATCAAAGTGGTTTTAGACAGAATCGCTCATGTATTGACCAGGATTATTCACTCTGCTGTATTATACACCAATGCATTGAGTATAATATCCCTCTGTATATTAATTTTGTTGATTTCAAAGCAGCTTTTGATTCGATTGACAGGCAGTTCATTTGGAGAAGTATGCAGCACTACGGCTTACCTGACAAGTACATTAGAATTATGAAGGCGTTCTTCACTCACACAGTTAGTGCTGTTAGGGTCAATG